TATGCAAAGTTCAATGTAATTTTTTGTTAAACTCTTAACTAGAGAATTCTTTTGTTTGGATGGTTAAGAGAATTTCTGAAAATTATTTCTCTTTATCAAAAGTATTTCTCTTTATCAAAAACTCATCATTATGTCTACCATGATATATTTCAGAGAATACTCACAGCATTGTTGTTCATAATAGAGAAAAACTGGCAGCCACCAAGTGTCTATCACTAATAGAATGACTACATAGTGATATAGTCAAGCAGGGGGATTCTAATCAGCAGTGAAAATGAGAGAAATGCCTTCTGTGATGTTACTAAATAATACTACACTAGCAACAATCAAGACAGCTACTTTTGAAGAGAGTGGATTGTGATTAAGAATTGTACTTAAGACACTAAGCAATTCTCAGTTTCTTCATTTTGGTGGTAGTTACTTAAGTATGCCTTGTATTTGTTAAGTCATTCATTTATGAATGTTTCAGTTTTCTAAAGGTATGCTATATATCATATTTTTAAAAAAACCTTTGGAAGTAAAATGGAGTGCATTTTAATTTGTTACCAATTTATGTATTATTTAAAATATAAGGTTCACACCCTTCTTTTCTTACAGTCATGTGTGGAAAAATGTGAACATGAATCAGATATTTGCAGTGTATTTCAGTGAATACTGTAGTACAGATATGTATATAGTGTGTATTTTTGATAATGGAATAGCTAACCGTGCCCAGCATTCAAAGCCAGGCCTCCCAGATGGGTGACTGCATCATGAGCATCCTGGCACTGGAGAGCAGTTCCAGTTGGCTCTGGGACTGTCACTTGTTCTGTGAGCCTCAGGGTTTTTATTTCAGCTGTATAAATACGGCCAGTATTTCCATGTGTGATATTATGGTAAAGATTATTTAAAAATGTAAGATGGAATCTATTATGTTACCTTTTCCTCATGAGGGTTCCCACAAATAAGTATTGGTTGTTTTATTGTTTCTTTTATTAATATTGTGTTTGTGGTTTATCATTATCGTTGACAAATGAATTAGAATTAATCAGGTATAGAATAAGCTAAAGGAATATAAACTAAGTAGGAAAGGATGGAAAAACAGGAAATGTCTAATAAGCTGAAAAATTGGGGAAAATGTATTCTTAATGTTTTCACTGATGTAAAACAGGTATGGTTAAATTGCAGATTTTTCAAATTCTTAGTTACATTATAGACATTTATACTTACTTCCCAGATCTTTAGAAGGTTCCCTTAAACCCCTTTCTCATCAATACCTCCTAAATCACTTTTCAATCTCTGACCTCACAGATTTATAAATAGAATCATATAGTACCTTTTTTGAAAAATAAGAATAGATAACTTCTTTTATTTAATGTATTGTTTTGTTCCTTAATTGTTGTGTGATATTCCATCATCGGACTAATACCATAATGTCTTTGTGTATTCTGTTAATAGTGATTTGAATCATTTGCAGCTTTTGAGTATTAGGAATAAAGCTGCTGTGTCTTCTTTCATCTTTCTTCTAATGAACAGATACGCTCATAATGTTAGTAGATACTGTCAAATTGCATTCCAAGGTGATTATGCTACTTTAAAGATCCACCAGTAATGAATAAAGTTCCACTTGTTTCTTGTTCTCATCCAAACTAGAGTGATATTAGTTGCTTGGTTTTACTCCTCTTGATAGGAATATAGATTCTGTCTTACTTGTAGGAATGAGGGGGATAGTTGTGAAAAGATTTTCATACCTCAAATCATTACAAGCAAGTTTGGTAGGGGAAAAATTATTCTAAAGATCAATAATGTATTCTAGACTTCAGGATGGGTTTTGGTTTTTTTTTGTTTTTGATTTTGTTTTTTGGTACTGGGAATCAAACTCAGGACCTTGCAACTAACTGCCCAGGCAGACGCTGCACCACTGAGCTATATCCCCAGCCCAGGATTTTGTCTTTAAATAACAATTTTAATGAAGAATTTTAAAGTAATGCTGAATTCTCATACACAGTGGAAAATGAGTAAAGAGCAAAGTAGTATTGTGGAAGAACTCTTTAGAATTCTAATAAATATAATTTCATAACACACTTTTTTTTTTTTGAGACAGGATCTCGCTATGCAGTTCAGGCTGGTTTTGGGCTCACTTTGTAGCCCACGCTGGTCTTCAACTTGTAACAGTCTTCCTGCCTCAGCTTCCTGAGTTCTGGGATTACAGGAATTGTCCACCACACTCAGCTAATACATTTTTTGTTAGGATTATTTTGCATATTTTTAGGAAAAGTAGCTTGTCTAGTCTTACAACAGAATCCCTAGTGTGACAATTTTTGCTTTGCTTCCTTGAAATTTCTCTTAAAATTTTATGCACAGTATGATGATATTTTCACTTTAGGATATTCTCACTATTTTTGTACGTTCTGTGTTCTTTGCCTTTCATAGAAATCATATAATTTTAACCTTTTTTTGTAATTAAAGCATTTGAACTCATATTTATATATATATATTAGAAAGCATTTTGGTTTATCTGTCTATAATTTTAAGTAACTTGGAGTCATTAGGACTAGCTTTTAACAGTCATAATATAATTTACAAGTTTGAAATATAGAGACTTAAAATGGGATTCATTTGGATTTGACAGGTAATACATAATCTAGATTTATGAATGTCCTTTTTCAACATTTGACACTTATAAAACATACCTGCATTTAAAAAGTTTGAGTTTTTTAACAAATAAAAATGATACAGAAATTCAAAATAAAATAATAGAAGATTAACTCTTGTTATCTTTAAAGTAGTTGTTCATATTATAAAATATAGGCATAAAAATGATCAAAAAATAATGAAAGCACAAACTGTTCTTTTTGATTTACTGTAGTATTTTGTTTTATTTCTTTTTGTTCTTTGAGACAGGGTCTCACTATATAGTTCAAGCTGGCCTTGAAATCACTGTGTGACCCAGGCTGGCCTTAAACTGACAGTGATCCTCCTGCCTCAGGCTCCTGGGTGCTGGGAATATTAGGGTGTACCACCACACCCAGCCTACTGTAGTACTTTAAAATAATATGAATATAGATAGTAAACAAGATATTTTTCTTACTCTGATACATGGATTGGTCAAGATTCAGCTGAAACAAGGACACTAGAGAAATTGAAGTCTGTTCTTTTGAAAATAAGAGAAGTCTTTTCTATTTATGATATATATTTTTAGAAAATCTTTGTTCTCTTTCACATGTGTTTAGAAATATCTTTGTAATAATTTATTTTTTTCACTGGTGTTAAGAATTCTTCAGCACTGGGGAGTCTGAGGTAGGAGGATTGCTGCATGTTTGAGCCCAACCTGGGCTACAAAGTGAACTCAAGGTCAGCCTAAACTGCATAGTGAAACTCTGCCTCAAACACACACACCCACACACACACACATCAGAGAGAGAAAGAGAAGAAAATATGTTTAAAAAATGAATGTTTTGGTAACAGGGCTCAAACTCATGACCTTGTGCTTGCCAGGCAGGCACTGTGTTGCTGAGCTATGTCCTGGTCCCCTAAAAAAGAATTCTTACGTTTACTGCCTTCAATAAACATTTAAAATTCCTAAAATTGAAATACATAACTTTTTGGTTTACTTTACACTAAAGCTCCAAATTTCTGTAAGTTTTCACTTAAAATTCCATTTTGCATTTATGAAAAGTTTTTTACCCTATTGCTAGGATTGAGTAAACTTTTTTCTTTCTTCCTTTTTATACTACAAAAGCGATTCAGTAAAATATCTGACTTAAGAAAATACAATAGATTTGTTTTAGTTATTGTAACCCAAAGGCAGACTAAGAGGTATTTGCTATTAATACACTAGAAATAATTTTGAAGTGCTTCAAGCAGTGTAATGCACTTATATTTTTAGTATAGACTCTTTTTGGGCCCAAAACCAATAATTATATGGTTAATACTACCTCTCCTCAAAAGTAGAAAGAACCATATTAAAATATGTACTGTTCCTGACACACTAATTGAATTATTATAATTTATTAATTGCTTCAACATAGTGTTCTCTTAATACGTTATAGGAATGTAAAGCTATTATGTGTGTTTATTCCACTACACTCATATATTTTATGTTCAACCTTTTGGAATTTGTTTAGCAATAGACAACAATAATCATGTCAACATTAATAAATATATACTGTGTCAAGTACTATGGAAAGTATTTTACATAGGTTTTTTATGGGGGGGGGCACAGCATAGGAATAAGGTCTCACTGTGTTGCCCAGGCTGACCTCAAACTTCAGGACTCAAGTGTTTCTCCTGTTGCAATCATCCAAACAGCTGGGACTACAACAGTCCCTCACTCTAGTTTATTTCTCCCTTCTTTTAAAAGCACCTATTTTAGACCATTCCATTTTGACACTGGTGTGAAAGTATGTTTGGTTGGGTCTGTCAGTGCTCTTTTTAGAAACCATCTCACTAGAATAAAAGCTCAATGAGGGCTGATCTAGTACAAAGTGCTCAAGGTGCACAGAAAAGGGTTTTTAGCTAAATTTTGGTGGGTTCGAGAAAGGACTTCATTGTCTTGGTAAGCTGTAATTCTAAAGAATGCGCTAAAGATGATTCTTCAGAGAGCTATAAACTTATCCTAATGTAAAATTGTATACACACAGTCTAGAATTCCTATACTGACACACATCAGATATAGTCTATATCTGAAATTGAAGCTAGATATGGCAGATGCCTATAATCCCAGTAGTTGGAGGGCTAAAGCAGAGAGACCATAAGTTTGTAGCTAGACTGCTACAAAAAAAGCAGCAAATATATACATGTATGCTGGGCATGATGGCACACTCCTGTAATCCCAGTGCTCATTGCAAGTTTGAGACCAGCCTGGTCTACAAAGTGAGCCCAAGGCCAGCCTGAATTACATAATGAGACCTTGTCTCAAAAAGACAAACGCACATGTATATAAAAATGCACATGTTATATAAAATGTTATCATGAATGACTTCAAAAATAGTAATACTGAAATACAATTTTTTTCAAAGGTTTTGAAAGAGGGAGGGAAGATATTTCTCAAAATAGAGATGACTCTTCACTTTCTATGTCAAAGAGCAAGGTAAGCATATTGTTCTTTCCAAATATATGATTATGGTATTTTTCTAGTATTTAAGATGAGGAAACTGAAGTCCTGTCTAGCTTTTATATGATGTATCTTATATATCATATAAAAGTGTTGGTTGGTATAGCTAGATCATGTAATATGTATGAAAGAGTAGTTCTGCTGAAACTGATTTAAACGCTGTTGGTTATTCAGAAATACAGCCAGGTGGTAACCAGTGTTTTCTCTAGGGTAATACTGTTCCTGTGTTTTCTACAGTAGTACTTCTCAAATATGAGCCAAGGATTCCTTCAGAGATACTATAAGGTTCATGTCTTTTTAAAAAGAAAAAGTTAAGTTTTTGAGATCATTTACCTAGCAATCAAAACATGTATTTTACTAGTTAAAGGACAAAAATCTTTGCAGTGATAGCCTGCAGTTAAATTTTTTTCTTTTTTTTTTTTTTGTCTTTTTCATTTTTATCGGTACCAGGGATCAAACTTTCGACTGCACACTTTCAAGGCAGGTGCTTATGCCGCTGAGCTAAATCCCCAGCCCCTAAATTTTTTTCTTAAAATGAGACCTAGTTTCTAAAATCAGTCTTTCTCAGACTAGGATACTTTCGCTTATTTTTAAATGTATTGAAAATTATTTCTTTAAGAGAACATACTCTATGAAGCTCTGCAGTGATGTAGCAATTTCCTATGAGTTTGTACTTCACTGAATTTTCTAAAATTTGTCACAGAAGTTAACTTTTGACTTGTTTCCAGTCAGATATTATAGCAAAAGGAAAAGCTTTTATATTTTGGAATAAATGTAACAGACTAAGAAAACTTTTTTCTTAAGCCATTATATTCTCTGCTCTTCTCAGGAATAGGATTTGCTCCTACTGCCTCCTATGTTTGTTTGTTCTTCAGAGTGGTTGAGAAGATTGCACAATATTTTTATGTATGATTTTATGGAAATGTTACATTTAACTTTTCAAGCATTCGTTACATAAAGGTCCATCTATCTTATGTGTATTAAGGAAGGACTTTAATAACACATTGTACATATGTATGGTGTACATAAATGTCTTGATTGTTCAGGGAAGAAAAGATCTCTTTTCCCACCCATTGTAGGATTTATGGCTAATACCTCCTCCCATAACAAAGGACATGTTGACGAGAGAAAAAGCATACAAATTTATTTAATATAAAGTTCTGTGACCATTAAGACAGTGATCAGTAAAGTTTATCAAAGGAAAGTTATTTCCTAAAATATTTCTGATAAAAATAGTTTTGATTTTTGGTCTGTTGGAAGTATGTTGATTCAGGAAACTGATGTAGTAATCTATAAACAATACAACTTTTTCACTGGTTCATTGTTTAGTCAAAACTAGAACACACAATGGATTCCTGGAGTTTTTAGTAACACTCATTAACTTTTAAACTGATACTGTTAGTAGTCTTCATTTAATAACATATAAGCATATTACAGTGTTATTTCTTATTAAATTGTGGGAAAGAAAATTTCATAATTTTCAGTTATCCTGTGACACCAGCCATGACAACTTTGAGTTCCGAGGGCCAAAGAGAAGACAAAAGACTTGTGTACTTGGAGAAATTTTGTAATACTGGTTTAGTACCACATAGTTAAGGGAATAAATGATTTGACGTTTCAAGCCTAGTACTTAAATCAGTAACTTTAACACAAGTTTAACCAAGTTGGTCTACCCTTTTTATATTTAGAGATCTTTGCAGTTCTCTTTGAATATAGTCAGTTAATGATAACACCATAAGGTAGTATTTTATACCATATAGAAGGGACATTTTTAGCAGATATGAAAGAAATTAGCCACAAATCTGCATTTTTATTTTCACTTTATTAGTAGATCATATGAGTTTTTTTGAGTCCTTTTTTTTTTTTCTTTCAGGTGACATACTGGGTATTACTGATGAGTAAACATGATGCCCCTTCATGGGCTGATAATTGAATGTGAGGGAGTAATACTCAAAAGCTTTTTATCCTTGATCATATGTAATGATATGCAATTTTGACCATTCTACATTTGAAAGTCACCTTTCGGATCAAGTCATTAATAATTTCTTGGTGCTAGAAATACTGCTAAGAACTCTTAAATATCCTCTTCTCTATCTAATGCTAGTAAAAATGTTAAATTGTAGGTCATTGAAGGAATGTGTTTAATTTTGTTCTAAGATTTACAAAAACAACTTTTAGTTTTGTTTTTCTACCTTGGTGATAGATTGTGAGGACTAGTTTAGGACACCCAGGATCCCAGGATCTAATCACTGCTGATAATTATTATGTATTTGGAAAATCAACCTCCCTAAGCATCCCTTTTATTACTTGTAAAATGGTGATTAAAAAAAAAACTTGTTGTACCCAGCTTTTCAAAATCTTTATGAAGACCATTGTATTTTCTGTTGCTGGGACAAAATCCCCGTCTTCTGCAACTTAAAGGAGGAAAGGTTTATTTGGCACATAGTGTCCACTGGGTTCAGTTAATGATCAGTCAGCTCCAAGGAAGAAATGGCAAGGTGGTAGAAGGAGCTGATGGAGAATAGCTGCTCACCTGATGACTGCCAGCAAGCAAAAAGAGAGAAGAGGAACCAAGGACAAAAATACATGTTTCCAAGTCATACCCAGGGACCCTGCCCCAACCGAGCCCACCTCTGATCAGCACATGTATCAATTGAATTGATCAGTGGATGAATCCACTAGTGATCCAAACACATAAGACTTTGAGGGGATATTTTTGATCTGTACCATAACAATTAAATAAAAATAGATATAAACTGAAAATCTGAAAACAAAAAAGACATTAATGACAATTTAGGTACATTGGATAAGTAGAAAAGACCCTCTAAATATTGTGATTTGACAATTTATGATTTAGAGTGGTTTGATACTAGCTTCTGAAGGTTGTGTTTCTTAGTGGGGAAGGCAAACCAGTTGGATAATATATATCACAGCTTGCTAAAATTTACATGGTTTTGTTTTTCACATAGAACATTTCACCTGTTAAAAAAGAACACTGCTTTGGCTGTTTTTGACCTGAGAAATTAACTAAATGATTGTATATGTTCTTAGAAATTCTTTGAAAAGGTGGAATGTAAAATTTTAGAAATGATCTTATTTAACTTCACATTGCAGATTGGTTTTTACTTTCAAATATTTTTGAGTTTAACATGGATTTGTTTTTAAAAACATATTTTATAGGAAATACTAGTTTTTGAAAATCTACATTTCCTTAAATCATAATACTAAATCATAACAATGTGATAAATTAACAGTAGCTTTTATATGACATATATAGTATTAACTGAAGGTTTTAATATTCTGTTCATTTCTATATGATTTCAGTCTGAATCTAAACTTTATAATGGTTCGGAAAAAGACAGTTCAACTTCAAGTAAGCTCACCAAAAAAGAATCTCTTAAGGTTAGTTTCCATAATTATTTCCAGAAAATATCTTGTATTGTGCCTTGCTTATGCTTTTAAAAAGAAGCTAATAAGAAATATGGACATGCACACGTAGAAAGTGTTCATATTTGGTGCGCTGAGGCTGCCTAACAAGACTGCTTGATGACTTTCTCAGAGAATCTGCTTTAGGCTTCAGTCGCCGAACGGGACTAAGGACATGGAATCTCGTAGTTGTGCCAGAGTCGAGCAGGAACACCTGCTGGAAATCTCTGGTACCCATTGAAATTACAGTTTGCTAACTGCTAGATACTGGGCTGAATTTGGTACATATTTGTTTAAATTACAAATTGTTTTAAACATGAAGACAATAATTAAAAATCCAAATTTCCAACTTCTCTGAGGATATATTATTGGATTTGCTGCCCTGAATGGCAACAGAACCTGGGACTTCAGGATCATAGCCTTTCAAGTGGTCACTACCTAGTCTGTGTAACCGATTTGTGTTCATGCCTGGTTCTGTATGTATTTGATTTGCAGCCTCATTAAATCTATTAATTCAGACGTGTATTTTTAAAAATCAAAAGTCTAAAGTTTTTTGAATATCAAATCATTAAAATATTATTGTATAGTCTCTTTCCATGCAACACAACTTTTTGTGGAGTATGTGTTTATTACTGTTTCTTTAAAATGTCACTAATAAGTTGGCTTTACTCTTACCCCCAAAACAACAACAAAGTATTAGTAGGATTGTATTAATCCACCGTTGCTTTCTGAAATTATCTCAGAAATAACATACATGAGGGAAAGCTATTTATTGAATGAATTAATTGCATTGTCATGGTTTTTCATTTATTGTCTTAACATCTTAGAATTAATAAAGAACAAAACTTCCATTTGCAAACAATTGCAGCATTGTTTATAATAGGCAAACACTGACAGCAAAGTAAATTTCTATCAGTAAGGGAATTCATTAAGAAAAATGATTGAAATCAGGGGCAGCACTGAGACAGACAGCGAAAGGGTCTGTTTCAAAAAATAAAAGGGGCTGAAAATAGAAGTCATTTTGAAGGCCCTGGGTTCCATTCCCATTATCCAGGGGGTGGGATGGGGGAGATGAATAAAGTAGTTATGAGGATTCTCCAAAAGCTATTGAATGGGAGACCTTATTTGTTAAAAAACACCAGCTATGTATTTCTATAGATTGTGTAGAGTTTTAAAAGGCAGTGTTTTCCAGAAGATGAACAGTGACTAGTTCTGGGAATTGCATTAAGATGGGATATAATAAAAATAGTTTTTAATTTTCTTTTATTTGAAATTTTTACCATGAGATTATGTTCCCACATTATTGTATAATTCAAAAGACATAATATTATTTAAGAAGATATGGAGAACCAGATTGGTAATGAGAAAAGCTACATTTTAACCCATTACCTAAAAGTTCCTCCCAACAGTAAAATAATCAAATAGTTTTTCTTAATTCTAAGATACTGAAATTCTAAAGATGTTGAGAATATTCTACATTGTATAGACCTTAAAAATTGAAAAAAATTTGCTTATTTCTACCGTTTTTAATTTTTTTATTATTTATACAAAATAGGTGCAAAAGAAAAATTACCGAGAAGAAAAGAAAAGAGCCACGAAGGAGTTGCTCAGTACAATCACAGATCCTTCTGTTATTGTTATGGCTGACTGGTTAAAGGTCAGTATTTGTTGACTTTGAATTCTAACTGCTAGATGTTTAACTACAGGAATGCAAAAGCTCAGAATGTACCTAAAGCCCATAAAATAAAAATAATGCCTTTCACTGAGAAGGAAACTATTATTTTATCCCAGAGAATCTTATGTTGTAATCTAAGTTATCATTTGAAAGGCAGTCATTACCAGACAAACACATACATTGATGCCTCCTTAGCTAAATCTTTTGGCCTTCAATTATTTTTGTTTTTAATTTCCTTTTTTTCTTATCCCAGTCACTCTAGCAAGAGGCTCATTCCCATCTCAGGGATAACTGGTAGGCATCTTTGAAACTAATTCTCACTTTAAGAATGAACTTGTAAGACTCTAACTTCCAGAAAGTTTTAGTGCCTGGCATTCACCTGAGAATTACCACTGCCCTGAAGACTTTCCACTTGGCTCAAGAGTTGGTAAAATCTCTAATATAATAATCCTTACAAGATCTGACATAGAAATTTTCTCACTAAAATGGGAGCCTGATGATAGTTAGCCTTAAAATTCAAGAAATTCAAAATCCACCTTCAAACTTAGGCTAAAAACAATTTCTAATTTATTTTGGTACTACTTGAACTTATTAAACTAAACTCTAGGATAAGGAATTTTTATGAAGGATTAATGTAACTTTTATTTAAAGACTTCCTTCACATTGGAGGACAAGGCAGGAAGACCATATGTGTAAGGCCAGCTTGAACTTCATTATTGACACCCCCTAAGAAGTGTATATGGCTGGACAAGATAGTTCCTACCTGTAATCCCAGCACTGGGAGGCTGAGACAGGAGGAGTTCAAGGCCAGCCTAGACTACAAAGTGAGACCCTGTCTCAAAAAGTCAAAAAGAAAAGACATTTATATAGCACACTTTATGTACCTACCAGCAGCAATTTAAGGAAAGCACTTTTGGAAGTTGAAAGGAGGTTCTTCCTTTTCCTGTCATTCACCAGATATCCGCTGCCTGGTGTCTGCCAGCAGGTTTTCAGCACCATCAGTGTGGGAGTAAAGTGAAAAGGCAGAAAGGGGTGAATAAGATTTTACTTACACAAATAAAATTGCAGCTACAATAAATACTACGGAAAGAAGACTCTCAACAGGAAGTCTTTTAACAGACCCTAACCTGGTCAGTGAAATTAGGAAAACTATTCTACTTAGTACATTATTTTGAAACTACTAACTGTGTCTTACACTAACATTTAAGTTCCTTATCATTTTCACATCTATTTGCCATGATTGTTGTGTAGTGGCTTTTCAAAAAAAAGTACCTAATTAGTCTGAAATGTGTATGTTATACAGACTTTAAATTAAAACATTCTATTTGCCATTATTCAGTTCGTGTCTTATGGAGCAGAAACAGAAAAAAACATGGTTGGTTGGTTGGTTAGTTGGTTGTTGGTACTGGGAATCCAACTCATGACCTTGTACTTACTAGGTACGTGCTATGCCACTGAGCTATATTCCCAGTCAAAGTACTTATTTTTAAAATAAATCTATCTTTCTATAGATTCGAGGTACTCTGAAGAGCTGGACCAAGTTGTGGTGTGTGTTGAAACCTGGGGTATTACTGATCTATAAAACCCAAAAGAATGGTCAGTGGGTTGGAACTGTTCTGCTGAATGCCTGTGAAATCATTGAACGTCCATCAAAAAAGGATGGCTTTTGTTTCAAACTTTTCCACCCTCTGGAGCAGTCTATTTGGGCAGTGAAGGTATGTAACCACTTTGAGATAATGTGAACAGATCTAAGATAAATCAATCAAATGTCTTTTGTCCTTTGCCAAGACTAAAATTCCTTTCTGTCTGTATCCACATTGAATCAAAAAGCTTTGTTTGCATTGGTAGGCTAACACACAATTTTTCCAGAAAATATTTCTCAAGTTTATTTTGTTTACTATCTGTTTTTGTCCTTGGGGATTCAATTTGGCTATTTCAATTTGTAACTACTAACTCTGCTTTATAACATTGTATCATGTTTACTAGTTGCCAGTTTATCCTTTTGATTTCCCTTGTGATAATACAAGTGTGTGATGCAAAGCCTAGAAGCAAAAGCAGCTCTACTTATGACAGAACAGCTTTCTTTTGGGATAGAGCTCTTGACATTTTTATAATGAAAAAGTATTACTGTGGTTGCTTCTATGCTGTATAAGCAGAAATACAAGGAAAATAGAACTGTTGCATGTGATTAATTGTCAAGAAATTGTACAAGCAGTAGTAATACAATATACACTAGCCAAATCAGTAAATACAATTTCAATTTTTGTGAAGTGACTGTTGCTTTAGTTTCTAGGAAGGTTTCCTTGAATAAAGGGTTTTGAACCTTTTCTTTATAGAAAATAATCTACTTACACAAACCAGACATATGGATGAATGAAACAGAATAGAAGGTGCAGACCCAACCCAGGGATGTTCAGCTGTCTGATCTTTGAAAAAGGTGCCGCAAACATACCATAGTGCTGGGGAAACTGACTATCCACACGCAGAAGATTGAATCTAGACCCAAGTACCTCACCAGGAGCTAAACTAAAATTGAAATGGGTCAAAGATCTAAATATAGAACAGAAACATTTAGTATGCTAAAAGATAAAATAGGTAAAACTTGAAGACATAGGTATAGGCAGGGATTTTCTGAAGAGAACCTCAATTCCATAAGAAATAATGTCAAGAATCAAAAATTTACTATTTTGTATCTAGTGCACTGGTAGAATGAAAGTTTTCTGTTAAAATTGAAGTTACCTATTTTTTCTTTTAGCAAATTTTCTTTTACTTTTTTATTTTTGGTACACATATGTTTATAACTGTTTTCTCTTCCTGCTAAATTGTTCCCTTAACCAATACATAGTGACTTTCTTTGTCTCTTCTGATGAGTTTTGTCTGAAATTAAGATAGCTGTGCCTGTTTTTTTCTGAGTTCCTGTTGCATGGAATATTGTTTTCCGATGTTTAATGTGAGTTTTTCTGAATGAAATGCGTTTCTTGTATTTTGGATACTGTTGGATTTTATTTCTTGATTCATTCTGCCAAATTGTGTCTTTTGATTGGGAATTTGAGACCTTTTATAGGCAGTTATTATTGAGTTACTGACTCCTTTCTGTTATTGCGTTATTTTCCTTTTGTTGATTCCTCCCCCTCTCTCTTTTTGCTTAGCTGCTCATCTTGCCATGTATATTTATTCTTTTTTATTACTTTGCATTGATGACTTCATTGTCTTTTTCTAGGATATTCTTGACAACTTTTTTAATGCTGATTTGCTAGTTATCTAATCTTTTAGGTGTTCCTTGCTATGGAAACAATTTATTTCTCTATCGATTTTGAAGGACAGTTTTTCAGGGTTGCAAGCTGTTACAGGCTTAAACACTTCACTCCAGGCCCTCCTGTCCTTTAAGATTTGTGTTGAGAAGTCAGTCGCCTGTAATACTAACGGGTTTACCTTCAGAGATAATTTGCTGTCTTTCTCTAATACCTTTTAAGACTTTGTTCCTATGTTGGACTTGAGGTATTTTGAGCATTATGTGGCACAGGGAAGTTCTTTTGTTGGTAATGGCTGATTGGGGTTTTATATGCCTCAGTTACCTGAATAGTTCTTTCTTTATATTTGCAGAGTTTTCTGCCATTATTTCTGTGAACAAGTTATTCATGACATTTATGTTGTCTCATGATTTTTTACTTTTCCAGTTACTCTTAGGTTAGTCTTTATCTAGCAAAATTGTTGGATCCATTTTTTATGTTCTCTTGTTGCTTTTAAGCCGTCCTTGAGTAGTTGGTGTTTGAAGGCATTCTAGTTCCGAAATTCTGCCCTCACATTGGTTGCACTGCTGCCCATGCTTTCCATATATAATTTTTAATACACTGAATTTCTCATTGAAACCTTTTCATGGGCTTTGGTAAATTTTCGTAAAACTTTGGTAAATTGGTCATTCATATTTTGTATCATTTCTTTGCTCATCTAGTTTTTCATTAGTGTCTTCTGAAAGTTCTTCAATTACTTCCATTAGCTGTTCAGTTATATCTTCTGTGATCCTACTGTCTCTTGGATGTGTTTTCTAACCCCCTTTAAATAATAATAATTCAGGTGTGTATCCTACGCCGTTTACCCCCTTGATGCTCAGCTGCACATTTGAGGTCAGCGTGGGCTACACAGCGAGTTTAAGGCCAGCCTGAGCTACATAAGCAAAATCCTGTCTAAAAGTATAAGAATTAAAAGGGTTCACTAAAGTTGGTATACCACCCCCCCCCCACTGCTAAATTTGACTGGCTTTAAAAAAAAAAAAGAATTAAAAGGGAAAGAGGAAGAGTAAAGAAAAACAAGAGATCAGAAGCAAGAAAGAACAAAGAAATATTCCCCAAGCCTCAGTAAACTGATGAAGAAGAAAAGAGGAAAAGAAAAAGAAAAAAACAAGACAGAAAAGCCTAAAAAAAAAATGTACACATTAACAAAAAACAAAAAAGAATTTCTCTGTGATTTCAAATGTGTGGTTTTCTTTGGGGATCTACAATATTGAGGCAGTGTCCAAGTCAATACACGTCCCTGCTCACACTGGTAAATAAAGCAGGAAACCAGACACCAGCAGGCAGTAGGATTAAGGCAGGGGCACCAGGTAATTTTCAGATCCAGAGCTGGGCCTGTGGCTCTGGGCATGGGGCTGAGTCCTTCAGCTCAAACACCTCATCTCTTCGGGTCGCTTTCCGGGCTGTGTCCCTGGCTGTCTCTCACCAAGTCACTTTGGAAATGCAATACTGGAAGCTGTCAGGCAGAAAGAATCCCGCGCTGTCCCTGAAGCTCCAGCGCCCACGCGTCCCTTCCACTGCAGCAGCATTTCTCTCTGCCCCTTCTGGAGTCCCCAGCTTTCACTTTGTCTCTGCAGATTTGGTTTCCCTTTCCCAAGAACCCGGAGCTGGAGAGAAAGTGAAGACGGTCCCTTCCCTTCTCCGTACTGTGTTCTGTCTCTGTCATTTCTCTGTAGGTTTTAACGTTCCTGTCAGATCACTTCCTGTTCCTAGAGATCTGCTTTTCTTTTTTCTTCCCCATGTTATTGTTTTCTAGCATCTGGATTCTGAATCTCGGAGAAGCTAAGTTGTTACTATTTACCACTCTGACATTTTCTCAGAAAGCTGGTTTTCTGTTTTAATATCCACACCTTTGATCATTTTTAATTTTATTTTAGTATGTGGTGATAGATACAGGTCTAGACTCAATCTTCAGCATGTGAATATTTCGTGGTTTCTCTATGAGAAACTCAAAGTATAAAATAATTTAAAGAGCAAAATTAAAGATGAATATTAGAAACCAGGGAGACAGATCTTTGCAAATGGGAAAGAGATCCAGAGATGAAAGATAGGGAAGAAAGGAAAGGAGAAGGGGAATAAAAAAGAATTACGGAGTGTTATTCAGCTCACCACAATCAGTGAAACTACTGTGTACTGAAAACATGTACTAATCAAAAAACTAAAATAGGAGTTAGTGTATGGTAACTTTTAGGTTCTCTTTATTAGTTGAGCAACATATAAAGAATTCTTACATGATAATTACTATCACTTATTTTGTGTTAAGGAAATGTATTTGTTGGGAAAGAAAACTTCTGCTAATACTTGCATTTTCAAGGAAGATTAAATGAAAGCTTATTTGCTTTGAAATTATAATTCATGTCCATTTATAGTATTATATTCATGCCCATTTATAGGCAATATAAAGTTAAGATGTCATAGTGTTTACTCTGTACTATTTATTTTGTTTTTAAGGGTCCAAAAGGTGAAGCAGTTGGATCTATCACTCAGCCCTTACCTAGCAGTTATTTGATCATCCGAGCTACTTCAGAATCAGATGGTAACTACAGTTTTTGATGGATTGGATTTTTGGTTTCATTTTTAAGAGTTCATTGTATATATCAATTTGTGTTATCCTTGGAAGAAATCTGTTTAGTATGATACTTGTAGTAGAAACACTGTAATTATAAATTGCTTTGAATAATAAATGTATTATTAACTTGGTAGACAAGCAGAAATCTGCTGGGAAGAAAGTATTGTCTACTTCAGTAATGTGTTAGTCCTTTAGACTGCAATCTTTATCCTCCATTGACAGATTACACTTTTTTGACTTATTAGTGTTTGTTGTGCTAAATCATTAAATGTTAACATTTTTTATTTTATTCTATTTGATTTTATCCTTAAGTGTCGCAATAAGATACTTATGCACTGTTTTGGTTTCATTTTACATATCGAGGTATTAATGTATGAATTATTTTATCCCTCTTAATAATTTGATAACTCATGAAGCAAGTATGATAAAATTTACTTATATGAAATCAAGGTAACTTTATTTATTTATTTATTTAGTCTTTTTTGTTTTTATCGGTATCAGGGATCGAACTTATGACTGCACATTTGCAAGGCAGGCACTTATGCCGCTGAGCTAAATCCCCAACCCCAAATCAAGGTAACTTTAAAACCGTAATAAAGAGCTGGGGATTTGGCTCAGCAGCACAGGCGCCTACCTGGCAAGTGTGAGGTCATGAGTTTGATTTCTAGTACCATAAATAAATAAAATCTAAATAATTTATCATGAATTTCTTTTACATTTTATAGTTTAAATTAGCTCGATATCAAAAATCTTATAACCTCCTGAAGTAGATTTTTGCCAGATATTTTTTTGGTAAAAATATAATCATGAGTGTTCGATATGAAAATACTTTATGTGGCTGATATTTCTATCAGATCTTTGAAACAAACGTGTGTGAGAATTTAAAGTACTAAAGTATATATGAACATTTTTCTGCTAAGTTTTAAAACAGAAGTAGAGCTATCTGTTATGTTTTTCTTAGAAACGTAGCAATTAATGATAACATTATACAGAAATTTTCCTGACTTAAAAAGTTTCCATACATGTAAGAACAATGAGTTCTGTGCCCAGAGACAGACATCCTCTCAGCAACAAAACATTATTTCAGGTAGCTTGTTTATAGTAGAAGCATAACCTCTTCAGGATATTTTGTGTAACTTGTTGAGTAGCTTTAAATTATGTTGCATGTTATTGCTCTAAACTTTGGAAAATGAAGTGAATTTATTTTGGATTGAGTATACTTGCTAATACTTACTTTATACTGTTTATCAGTAATTTCTGGATGCTTAATATGTAAAAAGCATTTGTAAAATAAAATTGTGTTAAGACATTCTTAGCATGCCAGATGTGGTGGTGCGTGCCTATAATCCCCGCACTCAGGAGGCTGAGGCAGGAGGATTTTGGTGAGTTCTAAGCCAGCCTGGACTACATAGTGAGTTCAAGGCCAGCCTGAACTACATAGCGAAATCCTGTTTCAAAAAAGAGAAATGCTTAACACATTTGTTCACATTACCTTTTCCAGTACATGTTTCTCAAAGAAATAATATCATGTTCAAAGGTAACTGATAAAAGTAAAATAGATGTTTGTTTCAGTTTCTTACCTCTTATAAATCTGTCTTCTTCTAGGAAGGTGCTGGATGGATGCTTTGGAGTTGGCTTTGAAGTGTTCTAGTCTTCTTAAACGCACAATGATCAGGGAAGGAAAGGAACATGACCTGAGCATTTCATCAGATAGCACTCATGTGACTTTGTATGGTTTATTACGTGCTAACAATCTCCACAGTGGTGACAACTTCCAGTAAGTAGATATTACGATTAATCTGTAATAATGTCAGAAAACCTGTTGTTCACTAGGTTAGCTGATAATTCTTGGTACTTTGGCAGTGTATACACAATTGAAATTTACCTATCTTCTTCACATATATGGCCTAAGCCTTAAATTATCTGCTATGATCAAGTATAGAAATTTATTTCCATTATTCTAGCCAACCTGAATTACTCTCTTTCCCAAATATAAACCTGTCTACCTTGTCTCTTTGCATAGTGTTCCTTTCACTAAGAATGATTTCTGCTTATTGCCCATTTCTCCTATCATAATCCTGTGGATTTTTCAAGATCAGTTTAAAATATTACGTCATTTACATGGTTTTTTCCTGCCTCTTAAAAGTGAAATACAATCTTTTTATTGCTATTCTCTCACATTTTTCTGTAATGGCACTCAAATTACTTTCTGTATCTGGTTTCTGTGAGATTATTTTACATTGTCAAGTGTTTTGGGTTGGAATTGGTTTTGTCTCCTGAAGCACTCATGTAGTTAATACTAAAAAATTATTTCTTTAGGAAAACTCGGCAGCAGTTCAATGACTTTGTTCAGGGGCCAGGATCTTGTGTTGCTTTGTAGGATGAACACTGAACTTCTGCTTTTCCTCCCTTGCCTGCCTCTCACCTTCTGGCTTGCAGCTGCTCGTTTTCATCAGCGCTGAGGTTGTTCTTTTCAAAGTTAGACTGCTCCGTGCAACCTGAGCCAGTTTTTTTTCCTATCCTTTTTCTCAACACTATTTTGTGTTCAGAGGAGTTCAAGGTCATCACATTTGTTTTTACTTCTTTAAAACCTCCATCACTTGAATTTTTGTAGCCTTTCTTTGAAGACCTGTAATCTAGAATTTACATTTTAATCCCAAGTACCTGGAGCCTGAATGGACTAGTACAGGAGCTAGGGAGGGCAGGTGATACAGCAATGAATATTTGTTGGGATTTATTCCCTAAATTTTACTCCCTTTCTACAGATTATTTATCCTAATCACTTTGAAGTATAGCAAAACTTCTTATTTTTAGACTGTAGACGTATTTCTTAAGCTGAAATTTCCTTTTCCAATTTTCCCTGTAACTTTTGTATCAAGATTAAGCTATTTCATCTTATTCTTGGAGTTATTTTGGGTAACTATGGAAGCTTTTATAGACAGAAAATTTTAGTTTGTTTGTATTCACTTGAGAACCTAATATGATCCTGCTTGTTTCTTCAGACTGAAAGTGACAGTGAGTTTGTTATAAACAATGATATTCATAGAATAAAATTAATCTACCTAGTAGTAGTCATTTTACTTTTGAAGATTTTAGCCTTAGGAGTAAAGAGGCAAAGAGCTCAGAGTATCATGGTTTAACGTTTCTCCAGGTTTTCATTTAACTTCTCCATGCCTCTGTTTACTAATTTATAAAGTAAAACTAAGGTTACCCATCTCCTAAGGTAATTTTCAGAATTAAATGAATTTTAAGAACAGAAAATATTTAGAACACTGGCAAGCACAGAGTAAATTCACGATAAATATTACACTCATTCCAATGCATAAGTTTTCTTAGCCTCCTTTATTCTTCCTCCAAAAATTCTTTTAAGGTTAAATGACAGTGAAATTGAACGACAGCATTTTAAGGACCAAGATATGTATTCTGATAAATCTGATAAAGAAAATGATCAAGAACATGACGAGTCAGACAATGAGGTGATGGGGAAAAGTGAAGAAAGTGATACTGATACATCAGAAAGGCAGGATGACTCATACATCGAACCTGAGCCCGTGGAGCCTCTAAAGGGTACCACTTACACAGAGCAGAGCCATGAAGAACTTGGAGAGGTAAAAGTACATTTTCAGAGCTTATGATTTTCTAATTCTTCAGAATTTCCAAATGAATTTAGGTATTACTTGCTTGATATGTTGTTTTTCTAAAATACAACATTTATACATATTTTATTTTTTAGAATATATATGAATAAGAAATTTATCAAGATTTATAAACACATACACATTTTTTATATCATTACTAACATAGACTATCAAATTTAAAGTACTCATTTTCTTTATTTGCTCTTGAAATAGAGTACTGCCTGGTACTGTTACAAGATACAAAGTGAATTGCAAGGAAACAAGTTTATAACTGTCTTGTTACTGCTACTGTATAGACATGTTATATAAAATAATAGGATACAGTGTTTTTATGTATTGCTTACTGTGATATCTCTTGTGGATCCTTTTTTACTTAAGCTTTATAACTATTAACTTCATTTAGCATTTTAAGGGTTATTTTATATTTTAAGAATGCTTGGAATAGTCCTGGAGATATTTGTATTTTCAACATGCTGTCTTGTCTAAGTCTCTGAAATAAATTTCAATATGTTTTGTTTATTGCTAAAGGCAGGTGAGGCTTCTCAAACAGAGACCGTGTCTGAAGAGAACAAAAGCCTTATCTGGACATTGCTGAAACAAGTTCGTCCAGGAATGGACTTGTCCAGGGTTGTTCTGCCTACGTTTATTTTGGAACCTCGTTCTTTCCTGGATAAACTTTCAGATTACTACTATCATGCAGACTTCCTGTCTGAGTAAGTATATTCTTAATTCTTAAAATAGAAGATACTGTATTTCATGATGCTAGAGATTCTCAAGAGTGCCACTTCCAGTGATTATGTCTTTCCAAACTCAGATTCTAGTGACACATCATTCTCTCGTCACCACTTCTATGGTTGATCTTAATAAGAAATGTGTTTTGGGAAGCTAAATTGAGAGATCACAAGTCTGAGGAAGAGGAAATTCTGCTCCTCGTGGCCCACATTGCCGTGTTGGGCCCCTTGACCTATTCACTAATTTAACACAGGCTGAAATACTTGGCGTGAGCTCCTTCATTCAAGTCCCATCCTAGGACTTGTTTCTTGCGAGACCCGTGCAACTTACACAACTAGAATAACCTGCCAGGTGCTGGCTTTTTACATGATTTCCTTCTCTTGTCTTTGCTTTTCTTCGGAAGCTGCAGCTTGAGTATAATTCTGAAGAAGGCAGGCGTAAGGAAACAAGAAAGGAGGAGCTGTTCATATCTGTCCCAGAAGCTTTTTGGAGAGCTTCGCAAAGAACTTCCCCTTTCCACACCTCGCCTGCTGCCCCTACTCCAGCAGCAGTGTCCAAGACACTGTGTTTTCTGTGGTACCAACTTCCAGCCTTCTGATCTGAGTTTTTAGACTGTGCATCAGTATTTATTTTCAGTTTCTGTGTATTAATTGTAACATTGGGGGAAAAATCATAAGTGAGTCAGAGAATAAACTGTGGGAAATTTTTACAGGATATATAATAGGAAAAATGTTCATCTCCCTAAAATACAAAGAACTCTTAGAAATTTAATGCAAATACTGAACTGTAGAAAAAGGATAGAAGAAATGACCAGGCATTTCAAAAATGAAGAAATAGAAACTGGTTTTAGACACATAAGCTTCATGGAAAATAAGAAAAATGTGATTCAAACTAGCTATGTAGCATTTCATGTTCATCACACTAACAAAAAAATCCAAAAGCTTTTAAATACAGTTCTTCTATTTTCCTTCTTTCCTTATCTGTCTAGAAATTTGTTTCTCTCAGAATATAAGGTAAATTCCTGTGAAAAGGCTGCAATTTCCACAGATCGAAAAGTTGCACTTTATGGCAGCACACTGTTACCAAGACTCTGTGGGGCAGGAGACACTTTCACACATGCCATGGGTGACAGAAAGAGGCGCAGCACCTTTGAAGGGAATTCGGTAGTATTTGCCAAAGCTGTAGAGGCATCCATCCTTTGATGCAGTAATCCTACTTATTGTGAATAGCTCCTGCAGCTAAAACTCCACAAATATCGAATGACCCACAGAAGGTTGCTGCAGCAGGGTGTGTAATAGCAAAACATTAGAAATAGCTCAGGTGTTAAATAATATATGGTACATCTACACATACACAGAAGAACTCACTCTATTGCTGTAGAAAGAACGCCAGCAGGGGATATAGCTCAGGGGCACAAGTGCCTGCCTGGCAAGCACACGATCCTGAGTTCAACTTTAGGTACAAAAAAAGGGAAAAAACTCCAGAAAAAAAGAGAATATATAGAAGAGTGAGTACCATATTTTTAGAAAAACAAGACTATTTGTATTTGATTGTTTATGCATAAAGGAAACCTTAAAAGAACTTTTAAAGCAGTAATGTACACCATAGTGGCACATGCCTATAATTCTAGCACTGTGGGAAACTGAGGCAGGAAGTTTGTAAGTTGTAACTCAGCCCTGAGCAATTAGCAACTTAAGGAGATCCTATCACAAAATAAAAACAGCTGGAAATATAGACCAGTACCAACACCTTGGGTTCACTGGCTTCAGTTCTCAAAAACAAAAATAAGCCAAAATAACCTTACATATAGGCAATAAGTAGCACATTGTGGAGAATGGGAACAATATATAAGGGTTGTAAATTGCAACCATGTACGTTAAAGACATATTTCTTTGTATTTCTTTAACTTTTCAAGCTACTTATATGTAAAATTTAAAAGAAAAGTACATGATGGAAAATTTAAACCAATAGAAAGAGAGCAATTCATGGTTTGTTACTGAAGAAAGATAGAACTTGACAAAATTGCCAATAAGCCTAGGCCCAGCCTCTGCCCTCTCATACCTCATCAGATATGCTTGTGAAACACAAATGCCATTTTATAAATAAACAGGGCATAATAACTACATTACAAACAGATACAATAAGATACCTTATAAACAGAAGTCAGTGTTTTGCCACATTGGCAGTAACAGCCAAATGGGGGTGAGAAGGCAGTCAGGGGTCTTACATATTACTCCTGTATGATGGAAACTTTTCTTTATCTACCATACTGGTATAGTTTTTTCACTCTGGAATTCAGTTGTAGTACATAAGGGGAGGTTAGAATACAAATCATGTTAGTTTACTGAAGTTATTTTTAACTCTTTTACCAATTTTTAATTTAAAACATCTATATTTTATAGAAGAGACTGAAAAACCATAAAATCCTATAGTTAGAAAGATAAATGAGAGTGACTAGCACCAGCTTACTGTCCTGTCCTTCTTGACCACACATGATCACAATTTCTCACAGAATCCTTTACTACATCTCAAGTTCTACAGAACCCCACAACCGAAACCTTGGTTTGGAGAGTTTCCAAAAACCATTTCAGCAAAGAGCTGGACAGTGTGTCAAAGAATAGAAACAAACAGACAAACAAACAAAAAATGGGGGAAAATGATCAAATTAAGAAAATAATTCTTGGAAATAAATTTTACATGATTATCTTTGCCATCTATTTTAAGTATGAATTGTTTATAATTAAATCTCTCGTTCAGTTATTGGTTGATAAATATGAGGGAGAATTTGTTCCATAGGCCACAAGGATTCTATGATATCATTTTGTTTTCTAGGGCTGCCCTTGAAGAAAATCCTTATTTCCGTTTGAAGAAAGTAGTGAAATGGTATTTGTCAGGATTCTATAAGAAGCCAAAGGTAGTGGTTATACTTTACTTTCTTTAACTTTTGTGAGTTTTTTATTTCTATATGTCACTTTTAAATTTAACAATTAATAGCAAAACTGCAAAATACGTAATTATTTAGACCTATATTTTATTTGAAGTCATAGGATTTTACTTCATGAAAATGTCTTTAATGTAGAACTTCATAAGGATTCTTCCTGATAATACTTGTTTTGACTAGTTTAAACTATTGTAAATTCTCTGTATTTGTAACTAGAAACATGTGTTTTTTGTAGGGACTGAAGAAACCTTATAATCCTATACTTGGTGAAACTTTCCGTTGTTTATGGATCCATCCCAGAACAAACAGCAAAACTTTTTATATTGCTGAACAGGTATTAGAAATGCATGTTATAGAAGCAAAATAGATCTTGACTTTTTTAAAGCTATTTTTGTAAACAGTAGTAACTTAATAAGTTATTGTTGACTTTTCTTTCTAGTGAATTTTAAGCACCTAACTTTTAGTACTAAATGCCACTAAATGCCATACTCCTCAGTGTTGCTGTTACTGTCGTGGAATCCTCTGATCAAAAATAAATGTTTACTTTTCCTCCCGTTCCTCCTTGTGTTCTCTTTATATTTTGTTCATTTACTTTTGGCAAAGTTTATAGTGGTCGTACTTAAAATTATTCAGTAGTTCTCAGTTCTGAAATCAGATTTATACCAGTTTGTCTGGCATTCAGTTCTGGATACTTTCAATTTTATCTCATGTGCTTTTTCTTCTTCTTTTTTTTTTTTTTTTTTTTTTGTGAAAAATAGGGGCTTGCTGTTTAGTTCAAGACTGGCCTTTATTCAGATTGGCCATGAACTCACTATGTCTGTAGCCCAGGCTGGCCCCAACTCGGCAAACCTCCTTTCTCAGCCTCCCAAATGCCAGGATTGCAGGCATGTGCCACCACACCGGGCTCTAAATGCCTTGTTAGGTAGTTAGATCTCTGCCTGTATAACTAGGTAACCTGATCTTACACTTTTTTGCCCTCTCTAATTTTAAATTTAGTTCTTCACTGAACATTTCTTCTCAACTATTCTTCAACAAACCCTGAGCTGTTCATTCTTCATTATCTAGTGAACTGCAGCTCCCACTGATTTTCCCCTTCTGAGATGTCTGTGGTATTTTTTGTGATTATCCAGTAAGCTATTTTTTAATATCTGTATTGTTTCCCATATTACAGAACCTTCCTCGAATTGAATTGTTAGGTGAAGTAGCAACTGAAGTCATATTCCCTTTCCTTCCAGATAATGCTTCCTTTGTTGTTGTTGTTGTAACAGGCAATTAGAAAATACTGCTTAGTTTTTAAACTTTTGTTAATTGAAACTTACGTACATTTTTTTACTCCTCTCTCTTTGCTCTGTCTGCACAAACCTGAGAAATATGATACTCTATCTCAACAGTAGTTACTCCTTTTTATAGTGATTCTCACCTTTAGTGTAAGAAAGATGAGACCATGTATCCTTTGATAACTACCTTATTCTCCCTAGAGGTTTTGATGTATCCCTCAGGAGGAAACCATTTATCTGTATTAATGTTTTAAATTAATGATTTACTTCCATTTAATTCACTGTAATTCTTCACAAAAACATTGTAAATTTATTGAAAACATTGAATCATTAAAATAGCATATTTAAGCTGGGCGTGGTGGCTCACACCAGTAATCCTAGCACTTGGGAAGCTGAGGCAGGAGGATCATTTTGAGTTCAAGACCAGCCTGGGCTACAAAGTGAGCTCAAGGCTTGCTTGAACTGCATAGAGACCTGTCTCAAAAAGAAAAAAAAAGAAAATTTAAAAATAGTATATTTAGCCAGGAGTGGTGGCATCCACTTGTGATCCCAGCATTGAGAAGATTGAGGCAAAAGGATTGCTGCAAGTTCGAGGTCAGCCTGGGCTAAATAGTGAGTCCAAAGCCAGCCTGAAACAATACCCTGTCTCAAAAAATAAATTAAATAACATATTTGTCAAAGCTTTTGTTTGTTTCCTCCAGCCAATTCAGTAATCCATATAAAAAGTAGACAGGAAAATCTAAGAATATTATCCACTGTTGTGTAACGGATTGCTGCGAAAACCAAATGGTATAAAATACTTATTAGCTCATGAGGTTGAGAATCTGGTGGGGTAGGTGGATGGAGAGAAGGTGGAAAGGAGGGGGAAGAAGGGAGGGACCCCAAGACCCTCCAAAATGGAAGCTGCATTATAACCTAGTTGCAGAAATGGTCATTCTGCACAACCATTTTGGCTCACTGTGAGGGAGAGCTACCTTACGGTGTGAATTCCAGGAGCTAGAGACCGGAAACTGGTTACTGTAACCATCAGTATTTAATTTATTATTTAACAAATGTTTTTTCTTACTCATAAGAATTTAACTTTTAACAAAGCACAATAATATGCTTACCTATATTTTTTGATTTTCCTGTATTCAATAGGTGTCTCATCATCCACCGATATCTGCCTTTTATGTTAGTAACCGAAAAGATGGATTTTGCCTTAGTGGTAGTATCCTGGCCAAGTCCAAATTTTATGGTAAGTCTTCCACCCCTACCTTCACCCTTTTCAGAGAGGTAGTACTTCCTAGTGACTTTTTATTTACAAATAAAATTAGTAAAATATCTTCTTGTTTTCAGCAAAGAATTTACGTCATTTTAGTATCGTTTTTAATTGAATAATGACTTTGTTGCCCATTCATAAAAGAGATGTGGCTCATCTTATGTAACTTGATTACATATGTGTAAATTCATCACAAACATCACTTATGAAAAGACAAAATGATTGCCCTCTAGATCTTCTAATGCGTAATGGGTTTCTTTTACCTTTACCTCTACCAAATTTTTTGTTTTGCCTCTGTATCTGGAGGATCAGTCTTTTTATTTTAGTCTTTAAATATAGAGGAAAAGAATCTACGTAACAAACAGAACTTGGTCTAGGGTAAATTAGCAGCACTTTTTCTTGACATTCTGTGATAATCTTTTTTCCTTCTATAATGTTTGTGTTGGGTGTTACAATTAGAATGTCTCTCTTATTTTACCATAATAATTAGTTAATTATCTATTGTACTTTTCTGTTTCTATTGTTTTTTTAACTTTCCTGTTGGTTATTTCTACATTATATATAACTTTTTTTTTTTTTTTTGGTACCAGGGATCAAACTTGTGACTTCACACTTGCTGGGCAGGTGCTTGTGCCACGGGGCTAAATCCCTGACCCTAGCTTTTCTTTTTATAATTTTTTAAATAACTTTTCTGTAGTCAGAAGCTGACTGATTTTCCCTTTACCTCATTATTTACTGCTGATTTTCAGTGCCATTATCTTCCACCTTGAGGGCTAGATCTTTCCTGATCTAGTGACCTGTGTTTTCTCGTACCACTGTTCTGTACTCTAAGCAACATTCACTTTTAAATTCTGTAGAGCAGATAAAACATAGGTACTTCTCTCCACACTGAAAGACATGCTCTTATTTAGGAGAGCTGCTCATGCTTTTCAAATGGACCACCAAAATCATAGTTTCAGCTGAAATTCTGATCCCTAATATTGACTAAGTCAGAATAACTGGACTCAGGAACATGAATTACGCCTGTAATTCCAGTGCTAAGAGGCTGAAACAAGAGAATTGCCACAAATTCAAGCCCACCTGGATTGAATTTAAGGCCAGCATGAACTACATAGCAAGACCCTGTCTTCAAAAAAAAGAAAGGAAGAAAGCATTATTCTAATGTACACTAAAATTTGAAATAGCCTCTTATACAATATTAAATGAAAGCAAAATACAAAAAGCATATTAAATTGAGTCAACTCTACTTTAAAACATATAGGGGTGTGTGTTTATACAAGGAAAAAAGGTGTGAAGAACTGTGAAAATATGACTTCTGCAAATTATAGAATTATGAGTAATTATCTCACTAGGTAGTTTAGGCTGGCCTTGAACTCACTGTGTTGCCCAAGCTGGTCTCAAACTCACAACAACCCTCCTGCCTCAGCCTCCTGAGTGGTAGGATGTCTTTTTAAATTTTTCACATTTTCCAAAAGATCGTTTTTTTTTTTAATAAAGGAAAAGCTAGATGTGTTGATATATTTTTAGTTATAAGTAGTATATAATAAAGGAAATTATTTTATGTATCAACCTATATATAAGATTGGATACAAAAAACCTTTATATTTCACTGTAAAGAAAATATATTTGGACATTAGTGGCTGAATAAGGTCTTTTTAGATTAATTTTATGCTTGTGGACATCTGGACATTAAAAATGAATGAATGAATGAATGAATGAATGAATGAATGAATGAATGACACCCAGCTACCTAAAAACCTCTAAAGGAAAAAGTTACCGGCAAATTCTGGAATCTACAGTCATACAAGAAAACATACACAGAAAAAGTCTCAGTTTCATAGCTTTGGCTTCAGGCCAGACGTAAATTTGCAAGCAGTTTAACCTGAGGAATCCTAAGTTTATAGAGACTGCTAGACAGAAAGCAGGGCTCTCAAAGGGATGAGCCAAAGAAGATGATCTCAGATTCTCCGTGCTCACATATCTGACCCAGAAGGATCTGTATCCAGAGGATAGCTGCTGCCCCTGGGCCTTACCCAAGTAACTGCTAGCCGACATAAAGAAACAACTTTCATTAGAAAAAAACAATAGGACCCATGGACCCCACAGCTTCACAGGTAAAAAGCCCAGGATAAAATAAAAAATTACGTATCTCTTCAATAAAAAAATGAAACATAGTCTCAAGAGAAAAAGAAAAATCAACTGTGAGAATGTATGTAGTGAACTTGAATCCTGGTCAGTATTGGGAAATTTCAGTGTTGCAATATTGAATCAACCCTGAGTGTACTGGTTCTGTGAACCACCTGAAAAACAAATCGAACTTACTAAACAGCAAAAAAAAAAAAAAAAAAAGAGAGAGAGAGAAAAATCAACTGAGACCAACTCCAGGATACAATTTTAGAAATAGGACACTGGGATTTTAAAGTAACCATAAATGCCTGCAGGTAAGTAAAAGTAAATGGAAAGAAAGGACAGCTTAGCAGAAAAATAGAAATAGAAATTATTTTTAAAAATCAGAGAGAAAGTCTCGAAATGAAAAAATAGGTGAAATTAAAGTCATAGAATGAACTTTGCGACACGTTGGAGATGAAAAATGAAAAGTGAATTTAAACATTCAGATCTAATATGGGAAACAAAAAAGTTGAAAAAATAATGGTTAAAAGTTTCCTAAATTTAATAAAATATATAAATTATACATCCAGGATGCTCAAAGAATGCTAAGTAGTATGATCATGAAGAAAGATAAGCCAAGGCACAGCATAGCGAAACTGTTGAAAGCTAAAGGTCAAAAGCACATCTTGCAAATTACGAGAGAAATCAGCACAGTACCCAGAAAACAATGATGCGTAATGACTAATTTCTCATGAGAACTTGGAAGAATGCAGGAAAAGGAAGCATCTTTATAATGTTGAAAAAAGCTGTCAACCTGAAACTCGATTTCCGGTAAAAATATTCTTGAAGAATATAGTCTTCAGTAAGTGCCTGCCTGGCAAGTGCATTGTCCTGAGTTCAATTCCTGATACCAAAAATATATATATATATTTGTATTTATGTTTGTTTATTATTTTTTTCAGTCATTTTATCTGAAGAATATATATACTTTAGATAAAATATGACTGAAAGAATATAAATCTTGAGAGTTAACCAAGTGTCATGACTTACATATCAATTCTTTTAATTCAAATGACAAGTTATATTGTAAAATAGTGTTTTGGGGTATCTTACATATTCGAGAGTTTCTCACATGACCCTCATAGAATAAAACACACAACTATAACTTTTAAAAGTATTCATATTGTACAAATGAGAATAGGAACAAGTGCTGTTTTAGATACAAGATAATAAACACATATTTGGGCACATTTAAATCATTGATACTGAGATGTTTTAAACATACTGTGCTGTAGATACCTGGTAGATGTCCTAAATATATTTTGTTTAAATGAGTTGAAATCAGTTTTGTGAAATTTAATTAGACACACTTTGTTTCAGGAAACTCATTGTCTGCAATATTAGAAGGAGAAGCACGGTTGACATTCTTGAATAGAGGTGAAGACTATGTAATGACAATGCCATATGCTCATTGTAAAGGTAATATTTTCCATACTTGAGTTAGGTATTTTATACACCTTTCAGAGTAGCTATGCTTTGAGATGGTTAAGTCAGACATACTTCGTTTGAAAGCATCCTTTGTTCACCATACATAAGATAATTGCTAAATACATCTGTGTTACTAAATTCACATGTAATGGATTTTTGTTGTATATACTTTGTTTGGAAAACACTAGTTTGTAGTAGTGGAATTACTTTGTACTTGCCTGTGTGGAGGATTTGAAATTTAATGAAACTGTTCATTATTTCAGCATCCTTCAAAGTGATTTTAAGTGATCTTATACCACTACCCTCTTAAAAACTTTGATTTGCTATTTTTCAGTATATCAAGTTCTTTACATTTTTTATCCTCACTTGACAATTTCTTAAAAGTTAAATTATTATTCCCTCTTCATTATATAGAATACAGATAAAGGTACTCAATATTAACTGTACTTACAACATAACTATATTTCAACCAGCTGTTCTGTGTGCTTCACATTTATCAGCTTATTTGATCGTTTCACCAGTCCTCCAAAGTAGAAATATATCCCTGTTTTATGGACAAGAAAATGAATGACAGATTAATTTACCTGTGATCACATAGCTAAGAGATGACAAAGTCAAGATCTGAACTCTGTCTCTGCAATGCTTTTTACTATTTTTTATCAATGTAAACAACACTTGGCTTGATCGTTATATATACCCTCTTTTCCAACATATTTCTTGTTTTTCTTTCTCACAAGATTTTTTTCTTCTTTTTTTGAAACAGGATCTCACTGTGTATTTCAGGGTGGCCTTGAACTCACTATGTAGCCATCCAGACTGGATTTGAATGCATAGTGATACTCCTGTTTCAGCTTCCCAAGCATTGGGATTATAGGCATGCACCACTGCACCTGGCAGAATTTACTTTTTTATTATCTGTTTTAAGAAGTGATTCACAAAAACATAAAAATTCTTTAAAATGGTCTCATTTCATAGTTGAGAAATTTAAAATGTTAAGAATCTTATCCAAGTTTAACCCAGTTAGTAAGTGACCAAGTTATGGTCTCAGGCTAGATAATTCTTCAAGCTTCATTTGTTGTTCTTAAAATAAGCGTGAAGCATCTAAAATTGAGAATTAATAGGCATAAATGTTTTTAGATCTTGTATCATCTGTCCCATGCCATACCCAAGTAGCAACAGGGAAAAATTTTTTCATAGCTGTGTTTTTATTGCATGAGGGGGAAAAAAAAGAGAGAATATAACCCTTCGTGATGAACACAGGAAATAATGACTAATTTTTTGTTTGTTTTGCTTTGTTTTTTATCGGTACCGGGGATCGAACTCACGACCGCCTGCTTGCAAGGCAAGTGCTTATGCACTGAGCTAAATTCCCAGCCCCAATTTGACTATTTTTATAAGATTTTTCTGTGTATTTTTTAAGATGTGATTCCCAATTACTGGTCTCACAAGTTGTTTTGTAAAATAAAACTTTCATGACCAAATAAGTATGAGAACCATTGCATGGTCTGCTTCCCTCTCAGAAATGAACATCATCTGTTTGAATATTAAAGGGTGTTTTAACAGTTTAATTAATAAATGCACACATGTATACAACCTGTTAAATTTCTTAAGTACTTCCCCAGTTTTTAGCCTAAGAACCTATTTTGCAGTTCTGTTTGTTTGCTTCATTTTTATTATTGCTCCTAGAGAAAATGAGTTTAGGTTCCTATGAGCCTCTTGTTACAGTACTTCCATCAACTAAATTAGTATATAATCTTGCTTATGTGTGTTTCTTTTAAAGACAGCATGTTTAATTATGACATAGTATATTACTGTTTTATTGCTATTGAACTAACAGCCAGTAGCAGTATAACACATGCCTGCATGAAGCTTTCACTGATATAATTTCTCTGTAAGGTACAGCATAGTCTTCTTGTACTTGAGAAGTAGATAGTTCAGGTCTAACTTTGGTCAGTTGATTTGAGAAAATGTTTAACAAAAAGCACAAAAATGCAAAACATATCGCACAAAATAACCTGCAGAAAAAAATACTTTTCTATAGTCCGAGAGCTGACACAGTGTTGCCTTCTTTACCTCAGCTTGTAGTGTGCACGTTTAGTGACTCAAAATTTTTGCCACCCTGTGCATGTCCTTGAATGACCATAAAAGCACTGATTTTTGAATTATGTATTCTACAAAGTAAGAAAAATTACAGATGTGGAATCTACAGACTGTGGATAAGCTGTTACTTATAGCCCAAAGAAAAAACTTACATCTGTATTACAGATTTTTATTAAGTGGGATAGAATGCCCTTGAATTATGTTTCTCCTAAAAGGATATTAGATTACAGAATGCTGTTTATCATTGCCCAGTACCTGTCTCTTTCTTCAAACTTTTATCAATTTTTTTTTCTTTAGGAATTCTTTATGGCACAATGACACTGGAGCTTGGTGGAATAGTCAATATTACATGTCAAAAAACTGGATACAGTGCAATACTTGAATTTAAACTAAAGGTTAGTGCAGAATGATAGATATTACTTGATTTAAGAAGAGCTATACTATAAATAATAATAAAAATACAGTTATTTCCTTTGGTAATTATGGACTAAATATAAGAACACAGTCCACGTCAAGTCAAAAGAAAATCTGATGGATGTGGACAAGGCTAGATGAGTATCTCGAGTTAATCTGAATAGCAGCCTTAGACAAGCCAAAAGTAACACACAAAGCTATCATTTTCATCTTTAATTAATGACTGTTAGTATTATATAGGAAATGGACTTTAGAAGTGAATGGATAGAAATTACTCTGTAAATTAAAGCACTGCTTTACAAAGTACTAGAAATATATCATCTTGCATTCTACTCATGTTTACTAAGACAGAAATGTATTGCTTACTGTTTTTGCATAACAAATTACTCTCTCAACTCACAGTCTTAAAAACAGCTGTGTTCTGATCTTCAAGGGATTTGTGATGCAGTAATTTGGATAGGGTATATTGGAGATGGCTTATCTTTGTAACGTGATAGGTGGGACTGTCATTTAATGTGTCTGATGTCTGGGCTGGGACTGAAGGACCTGCATAGTTATCCGAGTACCTGTGTACATGGCCTTTCCATGTAACTTGGCTTCCTAACATCAAATGAGCTTCAAGGTAGTCAAGACTTCTCACCTAGCAGCTTAGGATTTCCATGTGCAAATGTCCAGGTGAGCAAGCGGGGAGCCGTCCATGACCCAGCTTCAAAGCCAAATGACTCACTTCTAACACTCTAAAAGAATTATTAGCCACCCACATTCAGTGAGAAAGAATGTCAACCCCATTTCTCAATGAGAGAAGGGGTAGTCTCACTGAGGAAGAGCATGTGTCCTGGAGAGAAGGGCAGACATTATTGAGGCCATCTTTGAAAAATTGTGCTGGGTATAGTGGCACATACCTGTAATCCCAGCACTCAGGAAGTTGAGGCTATTTCTTGGGTTCAAGGCCAGGCTGGGCTACATAGTGAATTCAAGGCTAATATGAACTACACAGTGGGACCCTGTCTCAAAAAAACAAAACAAAAAGACCAAAAAAAGAAGAAAGAAAATTTGTATGCCTTAGACTAGAAGGGGAATTTGAGACCTTTACATAGTGCCAATAATTGCTGTAGGGCAATGTGTTAGGTTCAGATAAAAATATTCCTATGAACTATAATATTGATTACTAAATTGCTTTTGTTTATATTCAGCTGATAGGCATCTCTGCTCTAATGAAAAAAGACCTTTCTTGTGTTATTTGATATAATTTCCTTTTTCTGATTTTTTTTTCACTGTAGCAAAATTTTACTTGGATGGTGATACTGATGTTCAAAAACCATGGTGAAAGAGGTTCTTAAGTAATTTGCATCAAAATTAGTAAGACTATATAGCAACCCAAAGTATATTCCTTTTATTTTTTTGAGGAACTTCTTGATTATGTATTTTATTGTTTTGAAAGAAAGGTTATTGTTTCCTTCAAAAGATCACTAAAGTTCCTTCCATTTACTGAGTCATTAGTTCTTAATGCATTGCCATATTAGTAGGGCACATTTTTTATGGGTGAGAACATTATCTGAGAGAACCTGGCATGTTGAGTCAATTATGTCATTTTAAACTTTCTTAATATATTTGGTTTTTACTTGAGTCTATTTCTTCCTCATTTCCAACTAAAATTTGAGGATGTCACTATTAAGAGTAATTTTTTTCTACATTGTATATAAATATGTGTCAACATTGTTCAACTTTTTTTCCATTTCAGCCATTTTTAGGGAGTAGTGATTGTGTTAATCAAATATCGGGGAAACTTAAATTGGGAAAAGAAGTCCTAGCTACTTTGGAAGGTCATTGGGTAAGTATTTTTATATATATTAGTTTTATACAAAGAATCTTATTCTGTAGAAAAGTTAACAATCACATTGTCAAAAGCATACTTTTTCCATTGATAAAGCACCGATATATAACGTAAGCTTCAGCTTAATAGCAGATATTTTAGCATTATTTTGTTATCAACAGTATTTAAGTTTATGTAATACTTTTCCAAAACTTTTGAGCAAGGCATGGTAGCACATGTCTATAATCTCAGTATTCAAGAGGTTGCAGCAGAAGGAATAGAAAGAATTCAAAGCCAACCTAAACTACATAGCAAGACCTGTCTCAAAAATCAAAAACTTTTAAATTTGTAGAAATCGTTAATGTTGTTTACTGTGTGTAGCATAAAGAATATGAAATATTAATACTTAATATAACCCTACAAGGTGGACGCATAAATACTCACTTTATTATTGTTTGTTATTGTCCTCATTTTATAGAGGTGGAAACTAAGGCACAGAGCAAATTTGCTTAAAGTGTTGTAGCAAGAATCCCAGCTCAGGAACTCTGGTTGAAGGGCTGTGCTATAATATATGCACAGCATTTTACTTCCTATGACCTAGAAGAAAGAGGCATAGCTCTACACAAATATGTTTTAGAGGAGTGTATTATGAGAGCAATGGCTTTGACTTCTCTGCTGACCTGTATTCATATTTGTGTAGTTTCCTGAAGAGGAACTTAGTAACTAAATAAGGCTCATGATATTCCTTAGGTGTACTTCTACTGGGAACACTGAGCATATATTTTATCTGCACTGTAATAAGTGAGACACGAAGAAAAATGAAACTAGATTTAGGGACTCAGCTGGGCTAAACATGTTCTACAAAATTTTAAACTGATTTTTGTCTGAATATGATTTTGGAAAAAATCTTTTTTTTATCATAATGCCATGGGAAAAAAATCTTTTCTTAAAAAAATAAAATTTCTAAGTTTGTGCTCCAATTTTTAATACAAGAGGCTCTTTCAGGTTTTTTATATACAAAGTCCATACATGCTCAATAGCACCTCTGTAGTTCCAGCACATACTGTGTTTTTCCTTAATAGTTTGAAGATGGTAGTTGAGGTTTTGCATGTAATGCTTAAAATTTGCTTAAGTAAAACTTAAAAGAATTTGTGATCTTTCCATGTATTCAACCAAATTTTTCAAAATTGAGTATACATATTTGTTTCATATTTTTATAAAAATGAAGTTGAGACTTTTAGAAAAGTGCTCATTATATATGTTTGTTTTTTAATTTATTTTTATGTATCACATTTATTTATTTAATATATCTTTATGGACATTTTTTTTTTTTTTATCAGTACCAGGGATCGAACTCACGACCACGTACTTGCAAGGCAGGCGCTTATGCCACTGAGCTAAATCTCCAGCCCCTTGTTATATATGTTTAAAAATGTGGTTTAAGATTAACAGGAAAATTCTTATATAATCTCCTTCTAAACAAAAAATTTTCTACATTAATGCTTAATTTCCTTAAATATAGGATAGTGAAGTTTATATTAATGACAAAAAGACTGATAACTCAGAGGTTTTCTGGAACCCAACTCCTGATATTAAGCAATGGAGGTTAATAAGGCACACTGTAAAATTTGAAGAGCAAGACGATTTTGAATCAGAGAAGTAAGTATACCATTTCTTAGCTACTTTCATGAAGTACAGAATTTTTAATCATTTTGTGATCACTATTCTCTGTCTGCTGTTACATTTTATTCAACAAAATAATTTATCAGTTGTAGCCCAGGCATGATGGTACATGCCTATAATCCACCTACTCAGGCATCTGAGGCAGGGCCAGTCTGGGCAATTCAGGGGGACCTTGTCAAAAAGGAATGGGGCTGAGAACATGGTTCAGTAGTAGAACAGTTGCCTAGTATGTGTGAGGCCTGAGTTCAATTCCCTGAACCACAAGAAGAAAAAGAAGTCTAAAACGTGTGGGATGTGAAAGTATTGTTTGATATATGTGAATACCAAATAAATGCAATACAGATCTCTTACTTCTCTGCAACTCAGATCTAAAGATCCCATTGGTTCCTTTCTTCTCCATACTTTTCTTTTTGCTTGCATAAAATGATAAAACCTAGTAGTGATTATTTTCTCTCTAACGATTATTTTTTAGCCTAATATAGGCATATGGTGAAAGAAGTGGTAGAGAATCCGCTTTCGCACCATTCTGTGAAGCACAAGGTTAATGGCACTGCATGTGCTGGATTCCAAAAACCTTAATAGGTTGGGCAACAATGCCAGTTTCTGTTCTCAAGTCATGTAATTCTCGCTAGATCACTTACATTTTTGAATCAAAATATTTTACCTATTTTATATCTGTATTAGAAAAGATCTGTGTAAAAGAAACTGGTAGGCACTTTATGTACATTAGTCTTCACAAGGTCTTCTATCTGTGTATCCTTCTCTTGCGTATACTTAAACCTATGTTTACTTTAACTTCTGTTCTCAAAATTGAGGTTATCAAAAGTGGAAAATCCATAGTTTTAAAAATTTCATCTCAGAGCCAGGCATGGTGGTGCACACCTGTAATCCCAGCACTCCAGGAGGCTGAGACAAAAGGGTCACAAGTTTGAGGCTGGGCAACTTAACAACTTAGCAAGACCCTTTATCAAAGATTTTATTTGCTATTTTAAGACAGGGTTTCACTGTGTAGTTCAGGCTGGCCTTGAACTCACTAGGTTGCCCGGGTTGATCTCAAACTCATAGTGACCCACCTGCCTCAGCCTCTTTAGTACTGAGATCATAATCATGCACCACTTCACCTGGCACTGTCTCGAAATTAAAAAAATAATAATCATAATGTAGGCTGGGGCCATAGCTCAGTGTGAAGGCCCTGGGTTTAATAACTAGCACTGCAAAAAAAAGAAAGAAAAGAAAAAAATTTCATTTCAGCCATAAATATATGATGATGTCCATCAAAACTTTTTAAAAAACATATTCCACTTTTTGAGATATGGATTTAATTCAGCATATCTTAAAGATGAGGATATGAGACTCAGCAGGATAGGAAACTTAAATTCATCAACTGAGAATTGGCAAAAGAGGATTCAACCCAAGTCTTACTGATTCCAATTTCACTTACAACATATTGCCTTCTCAGATGGATAGAATACAATTGTTATCCTTTCATTTAACTAATGAAAAAACTAAATTTTAATACGGGAAATTATTTTCCTCAAAGTTATTTCTGTTAAATCAGTAGTTCCCAACACTGGCAGCAGTTTAGTAATGCGTTTTTTAAAATATTAATGCTTGATCCTGCTCCTACAGATAGATCCCAGTTTTAAAAGTATTTGATAATCCATACATCCAAGGCAGAGAGGCACTGCTTTGTACTATTGGGTCTTTAGGAGGCCAATGGGGAGATTAAACATTATGAATAAGAATCATCTGGGGAGCTTGTTAAAAATACTCCTTTGAGCCCTACCTTTGTTACATCTATAACCTTCAATCAGCAGCATTCACTACCATATGTTTAAGAGTACATGTGATAAATTTCTCTTGCCAAATAGAAATTAGTCTCAACTCAGGAGCAGGTGTTTCTCTACTGAAGGCACTAGATTTTTATACTTTGACTCATTACTAAGCATGTGAGCATAGCTTAGTCAAAGCCAGAAATCCACATGAGCATTATTTTCTCTTAACAGGATTCAGACCAGTTGTATACAGATTTGGTTTTCTGTTGCTTTTTTTTTAATACTGTCTTTGCACATTGTATTAGACTCTGGCAACGAGTAACTCGAGCCATAAATGCCAAAGACCAAACTGAAGCTACTCAAGAGAAGTATGTTTTAGAAGAAGCACAAAGACAAGCTGCCAGAGATCGGAAAACAAAAAACGAAGAGTGGGCTTGCAAGTTATTTGAACCAGATCCAGTCACAGGAGAATGGCATTACAAGTTTTCAGAGTGAGTAGTTAAAAGAGTTTATTTCAAATAATACCTTAGCATTGTTTGTTCTTCATTTCTCAAATATCTGTTAGTTACCATACACATTAGTGTGAAATTTTAAACCTGATGCTCCATTTGTTATAAATTTGACCCAGTGATAGCCTATGAAATAAGTTAATGATCAGGGAAATAGATGTATGCAAATCTTAATATGAGAACTATGTTTATTAATGAAAATCTGTTTATAGGATAGAAACTAAGTTCTTTTGTCACTAAACAAGTGTTATTTGTTTGTTCATTTATTTAGTACTCGACCATGGGACCCACTTAATGATATGATACAGTTTGAGAAAGATGGCATTATCCAGACCAAAGTGAAACATCGTACTCCAATGGTGTGTAATAATAAATTAACCAGATCTCATAAGTATATGTTTCAGTCCTTAATATCTGTAGCAGTCAGTGTTTAAAATATGGTTTCAAAATTTTAATATTTTTGGTAAGCAAAATGACAGAGTAGGCAGCTTCAGACTCTTCTGACTCCAAAGAAATATTAAGAAACAAGCAAAAACTATGAAAACAAAATTTACCCAGCCTCTGGAAAACAGTGAAACATTTGCAGAAACAAACGGACTGCTATATCATCAAAAAGGTGACTTAAAAAAAAAAAAAATAGGAGAGCCAAGTACTGTGGCATACACCTGTAATTCCAACACTTGGGACAGTCTTGAGGCAGGAAGATCATCCTCAGTTTGGGGCTAGCCTGAACTGCATAGTGAGAGCCTGACTCAAAAAAATAAAAAAATAGGCCAGATGTGGTGGTACATGCCTGTTAATCACAATATATCAGGATACTGATACTCACAAGAGATCATTGTGAATCTGAGGGCAGCCAAGACAGCATAGCAAGGCCCTGTCTCAAAAAACAGAAGCAATAGCAAGTGTTGCATTTTACTTTCGCTTACCCACCCCTGCAAGTACAGCCTTAATCTTGTAGGATTCCTGCATTGCCAGTGTGAGTGCCTGGTTCTCAAGGGAGCACAGCAGTCCTTATTTACAAACTAGACATACACTATTGTAGTCTGTCAAGGTACTTACTATATAAAGGCTTCATGTAAGTCACTCATCTCTGACAATATCAGTAAAGAGAAATTGTACAAAGAACCCAAACAAAAAGTCTTTTCAATACTGGGAATTGAGCCCAGAATCTCATACATGCAGGGCAAGCACTGCACCAGGAAGCTGTATCCTTAGCTATTTTTCTTAATTTTAAAAATTTATTTATGAGGGGCTGGGGATTTAGCTCAGTGGCATAAGCACCTGCCTTGCAAGCAGTCGGTCGTGAGTTCCATCCCCCTTACCAATAAAAATGAAAAAGACAAAAAAAAAAAAGAAACAGGAAAAAAAATTTATTTACGATTTGGTTTTCTTTTCTTTGTGATACAGTCTATGTAGGGCAGGCAGCCTTGAACTTACTATGGAGGCCAGGCTGGCCTCAAACTCATGGCAGTCCTCGTGCTCAGCCCCCCAAAGGCTGGTATTACCGGTGTGTGTCACCAAACCTGACTTAATTTTTATCTTGAGAGAGGGTATCTGTCTAAGTTTCTCAGTCTGGCCTTACATTTACAGTGCTGCAACCTCAGGCCCCCAAGTAGCTGAGATGAAGCCTGCATTACTGAGCCTTACTATAAATTCTAGAGCTGGAAAATATAATAACGAATGAAAATTTCACTAAAGAAATTCATCAGCAAATTAGGGCAGGCACAAGACAGAATCAGCAAATTGAGAGATAAAACAATTACATAATCTGAGGAGCAGAAAGAAAAATGAACAGAGCCTAAAAGACCTGTGGTACTTTCAGGTGGGTCAGTATATGTATTGAGTCCACAAGGGAAGCGCAAGAAATAGGTAAATATCTGAGGAAAGAAGTCCCCCAAATTTAATGAAGGATGTTAAGTCCAAAAAGCTTAACAATCTCTTAAGCCCAGTAACCCCAGAGACCCACACTAAGACAAACTGTCAAAAGCCAAAGACAGAATATTAGAGCAGTAAAAGGGAAGCCACTCATTACATCCCTTTCTTAACAGATAACATAATCTTATGTAAAACAAATTCTGTTCAATCATAAGAAAGCTACTTACTGTAGCTAATGAACAAATTCAGTGGAGTTGCAGGGTATATTAAGATCAACATAAAAACTGGGCACACACCTATAATCCCAGCTACTCAGGATGCTGAGGCAACGGATTACAAATTCAAGGCCAACCCGGGCAATTTAGATCCTGTCTCAATTTAAAAAGGAGGGATGCTAAAAGTGTACTTCCATGATACAATATTTACCTATAGATGGCAATCTATAACAATTTGAAAAAAAGTTTCAAAATTACATTTGTTCTTTTAACAATGTAAAATGATAGAGACATGAGCCATCTGTATTTCTTCCTCTTTACTGATCACAGTGAGTCTGTGTAAATCTTTGTTTGCTGACTTTTTTTGATTTTTGAATAGGTTCTTATTAGTCCTGATCAATCTCCAATTCAAATCTACTCTTAAAAATACAGATTTATATTCTGTATGTTCTAAGACTTCAGCATTTCAGAAATAAGCTGAATCCAGAATCTACCTCTTTGTTATATTAATATAAAATTTTTATAGAATTTTATATTTATAGAATTTTACAAAATTATGCCAAGCAATAATTAGGGATAATTCTGTTATAATGGTGAAGAGGTAATAAGAGTTAAAGACTTGTGGTCACTGATTTCCTGAATTTCTAAGCCCCGTGTAGAGTATCTCACCTTTCTGATTCTAGTATATTCTCTTGAATCTATAGGGCTGATGACCAGAATTATAAACTTATTAATATGCTAGAGACGAAAGTTTATTATTCTAAGGAAAATTTAGCCCTACTTGATGGTTTTACATCTAGTATACACAATTATGTCTATATGTTTAGTAACTTTCTACATATGCTCTGCAAAATATCAGTATCATTTCTATTTATAATATGATTTCTGTATTACCCAGATAATTATTTTTTAAAAATCAAAATTTTGTTTAAAATGCAACATCATTCAGTAGAAGTGTTTTAATAGAACAAGATAAGTATGATTTTAAAACACTATTATTTAGTATGCTGGTGGAAATACTCTGTGATGCAGTTGTAACAGTTGACTAGATACACACTTATATTTGTGCATTCTTAAAAATACCTCTAGGCAGGTGTGGTGGCACATGCCTGTAGTTCCAGTAGTCAGGACACTTAAGCAAGAGGATCACTCCAAGTTTGAGGCCAACCTGTACTTACATAGTGAGTTCAAGTCCATCTTGAACTGCATGGCAAAATCCTGTCTCAAATAACCAAAATATGCCTTTTGAATATCATGCCCATGAACAGTACTGATGTTTGTACAACAGTAGTCTTTAGTCACAAATTATAGTGCAAACCCACATAATAGTATGACGTTTTTTTCAGGTTAGTGTCCCAAAAATGAAACATAAGCCAACCAGACAACAGAAAAAAGTGGCAAAAGGCTATTCCTCCCCAGAACCAGATATCCAGGACTCATCTGGAAGTGAAGGTAAATATTTATTGCAGACTCTCCACTATATGAAAATGGTTCTTCAAATTAACTCAAGATGATAATGTAAGAGTTTGGGTAGAGGCAGGGATAGGATTTAAAAGATATTCTAGGTCATAGATGAGTTGTAAGAATAGGCCACAGGTAAAGACATGAGAGAAGAGGAAAGGAGAGACATGCAGGTAAGAATCACACTCTAAGTGTACCCTGAGGTTTTGTTAGCCTCTGAAAACTTACTGGCAGTATAGATTGAATTCAGGAAGTATGTTTTTTTGAGCTTGCAACTCAATTTCATGCTTAAAAAGATTTCTGATTCTAGGGTAAATTAGTAGTGTTTGGAAATCATAGACAAGTAAAAATAGAACTATATAGAAGTATGGACTATAAGAATACATAGGGTAATATTTTTGTCCAAGTTATATAATATGTAAACTGTCTTCTACATTGAGATATATAGAAGAAATAATTAAAACATTATTTATTAAGACATATTTTACAATTTATGGGAAAATGGTCTTAAATGGGTTTACATTAAGCTGGAGGGCGGGTATTTACCTATAGAGATAACACTAGAGGTTGAATAAACAGAAGTATCAAAATTAGATGATACATACTGTACTTTAAGGGAGAAGGAGCTTGTTTCAATTTCAGACAGCATCTTGAAGAATCCTTGATGAGTTGTTAGGATTTCTAATGGATTACAGCTATCTAAACTTGGGGCATAGAATTGGGGCAAATATTGGAATAGTAAAGAAATAAAACAAATGTGTGCCAAAGGGAGTATTAGTTATGACTTCACTATTCACATTTTACAACCAGAAACCGACACAGAAGCTAACCTGCCCAAGGCCATATACACCATAAGAATGAGTATCTGCGTATTCACTATGTATTTGTTCCTTAGATGTTTGGTTCCTTAACTGACCATCTTTTCACACCACTGTATTACCTGTAATGTGCCAGCTGACATTTGTTGAGTAACCTGTTCAAAGACTATATTAAACATACTTCACAACAACTATGTGAAGTTTTGGTACCTTCCTATTTTTTAGTCAGAAAGCTGAAATTTAGAGGTTAAGTAAAATATTAACAAAAAAGGAAAGAATGGATATGAAAGATTTGAAAAATCGATAGAGCTTGCTAGTTGGCAGTAGAAATACACAGAAGTGGTATCAAAACTGGCTGAAGAAATTTAAAGTTTGGGTCACTAGGAGAGTGACAGTAACATTAGCAATTAAAACATTTAAAAATAACTCAAAAAGTTGACTTCTACAGATCTATGCAAGGGACGGAAAATGAATATGTTTTAATGAATTATTTTTGACTTTGCTATTGAATTAATAAGAAACTGGTGGGGCTGGGGATTTAGCTCAGCGGCGTAAGTTTCTGCCTTGCAAGCAGGCAGTCGTGAGTTCGATCCCCGGTACCGATAAAAAGACAAAAAAAAAAAAAAAGAAAGAAAGAAACTGGTGTCATCTAAAATGTAATGAATTTATAATGACTTTAAATATGTTGAGAGTGTTCTATTTTTTAAATGATATGCAGAAGGTGTAGAATATTAGTTTTACTATGTTAACCTCTAGGCCATAAAAACTAATGCCTATGAAAACTTATTCTACAAGAGTCACTAACTGTAAACTATGTTTATGATTGTAACTTACATTCTAATTGTCTTTTAGCTCAGTCTATAAAACCAAGTACACGAAGAAAGAAAGGGATAGAACTGGGAGACATTCAGAGTTCCATCGAATCTATAAAACAAACACAGGAAGAAATTAAAAGGTAACATATACTGACAGTACCTAGTCAAACACTGCTAGTCTAGAACCATGGTCTCCACTACTTGATGGTCTGAAAACTGTGAAATTATTCAAGTACTACAACACTGGGTGGGAGACAGCGTGCCAGGGATGCAGCTGGACTGAGTGTTTCTGAGAACGTTAACCAAGGCTTGCCTTTTCATTCCCTTTGTACATGGCTTACATTCAGTGGGAATGTACCAGGTGTTAAAATACTGAAATACTTCCCTGGGGCCTTTGAGTGCTCCTCTTAAAGAGTCCCAGATGCTCCTTTACACACCACCTGTTCCACGGCTAAGACTAGCATGGGCTCAGTTTGAATGCCATCCATGCTATGTTGAGTTTTTAAAAAGTTTAAATTAGCCTGTCTGCTTTTATATATTCAGCACTCAGTACTAGATGTGTGTTCTTGAGTTTTTAAAATTCCCTGTTCTTAAAGACTTTGTGGTTTACATTCAGTTAGTGTTTTTATCTACAGGCTTGTCTCCTGCTGTACCCCTGCACCTGTCCTATGCTATCATTCCATGAAACACTGTGCATCTCCCAGATATACTGTGCATTCTCTCATCCTTGATCTTTACTCTCTGAATTTAAGACTACCCATTTCTTACCACCTTGCCTATCAAGAAATCTCTTTGTCCTTCAGAAGTAAATTCACTGTGTAGTTAGAAAATACACAAGAATCTTTATCAAACTGAAAATAAAAACTTGTGAGCACCTTTTTAAAAAGGTAAATTCAGATGACACTGTTTGGGGTAGTATTTCTAGTCACTCACCCTGCCCTGTACAATTACATAGTACCTCGTTTCCACTTCTACCTCCCTTTACATACTTTGAGCACTCACTACACTCCAGAGTTTTATCTGTGTACCCTATTATATCACCAGTCCTTTTAGAGCATGGAGCATGTCTTACGCATCTTCAGTGTCATCACTGTTTTATAGTATTTAAGTTTCCTGATTTAACTATAACATAAAATAATTAGCTTATTTGTTTTACCTTTCTCTCCACCCAACCCTTTGCATTATTGGAGACTGAACCTAAGGCCTTCACATTGTTCTCAACCCTTTTGTATTTTGAGATAAGGTCTCTATAAGCCACAGATTTGCCCAGGCTGTGCTTATTTTTTTCCTGGCTATTTTGTTTTACTCCCACTCCATCTCTTTTAAAGTAAAAATAAAAGAACTTCAGTGAGCCAACTAAGCAAAATTTTTGTTTAAACAGAAATGTTATTTCTGTATCATCAAATTTTGACATCTTTGATGCATATCTTTATATGTGCTACAATTTGTAATTTAGATTTAGATAAAATTTAATAAAGGCTGCCCATAGCATAATCTTCAGATCCTTGGTTGTGCAGTTGATTGATCTAATTACTTGAGATAATGTAATTAAATGTTTTATGATTATATCAAACTGTGAGTTTTGTACTAATATTTCTGGAAAATTGTAAAATTTATTGTTCTTTATTTTTATAGGAATATTATAGCTCTTCGAAATCATTTAGTTTCAAGCACGCCTGCTGCGGATTATTTTCTGCAGCAGAAAGACTACTTCATCATTTTCCTCCTGATTTTACTTCAAGTCACAATAAACTTCATGTTTAAGTAGGAGTTCTGCACGGTTGAATCACTGACCTGGGAAGATCAGATTTAGTCTGGGACCAATATTCAAGTTGATTTGGTCTTACTAAATATCACAATATTTTTCAAACAAAAATTAAAGAGATAAATGTAGTGGTGTCTACCTTTCATATCCTTTACCTGAAACAAGAGCTATTCAATTTTGTTAAAGTGAGCTATGTGTGAAGTGCCAGGACATTTCTAGCTTTTCTGAGAATGCGTCTACATGTGAGTATAATAAATTCACATGTACACACAGTGTCTCTAACGTACTCTTACCTGATAGTAGTCTTTGTATTCTATAGTATGTTCTAAGATAGAATTGTTAGCATTGTTTGTAACAAAAATGCAATCAATCCTATAAATATATGTATAGTAACCTACTTTCATTATAAAACAGGCACAAAATTTTATGAAGGAATTACAGACTGGGAAATGATGGAATAATAGACATAAACAATTCAATACAGTGTACTATCAAAATCATTTCCAAAGTACCCAGCTCGGTTTTCTTTCTTTCTTTTTTTTTTTTTTTTTTTGGTCCTGGGAATCGAACTCAGGACCTTGCTGAGCTTTATCCCCAGCCTTTGGTTGTCTTTTTAGAAACAGCAAAAACAAAACAAAACAAAAAAAATGACAAATGGTCAAAATTAATATACTGAGACAGGTGGAAAATTTTTTTAAAGTTTACACAAAATTTTTGACCTTTATAATTTAGTATTTGTAGAAACATATATATATATATGTACTTATGTGTATATCAATACAAAAATTATTATGTAGTACTTGCACCTGTTAATACCACATTAAGCACTTACTGAAAAGTGTGGTCAAAATTAATTGCTGTCCTTTTTTCTCACTTTAAGTCAGCATAGGCCAAATTCTAGAGATGCTTATAGGACATATAAAAACTGATACTTCATATTTTTTCTTTGTGAAAACTTCTACCATTGAGTCCCTAATGTATTCAATAAATAAGTAGAATAGAAAATGTTATAATCAATGTGTTACTTCAAAAGCCAAAAGGAGAATGACAATAAAAGACACTGGGTGATGCTCTTTATGTGTACATTAAAATTGCTTCCCTTAAACTGTACAATGAGTGGAGCACCTAAGAACATCAAGTTGAAGTTTATTTATTATCCCTGTCTGTTCTTAGAACTTCATTCTGTGGCAAAACAATTCTTTAAGATTCCTTTTCTTCAAGCTAAGGCAAAATTTCTTCCTACTTATTTTTTTCAAATTTTTCAGTTAAATTTTTGACTTCTTGTTTTCACATAAATACAGTTCTTAAAAGCTGATTTTTCAAAAACTGTTAAGTTTAGGAATATGTTGTCCTAAAGTATATCTTTGCATCCTAGAGGTAGAATTTTGAAATGATTTTTAAAATGAAAATGAATAGTAGAGAATTACTTCAGCTACTTCTGCCATCTCACAGAAGAGACTGAGATAACAGTAAAATTACAGTCAATTCTTCATGCCATGGTAAATATAAAGTCAAGGGGTATTTGCTACATTGTGAAAGTTGAAAATAAGAAAATCTGGTTTTTTTTTCTTACTATTGCTATCTTAAATATCCTTACGATTGTATAAGCACTGTTTCCCATGTAAGGTTAGCAAAAACAACAGTCTGTATTCCATGTGTACAAGTGAAAATAATGTTTATATGGATAACAGCATAAATAAGATATAACTGTATCCAGTATTTTCATGACTATCTTAGAACAGGTGGATTTTTGGGTTTATTTCATATTTGTCAATTTTTTTTGTATTCATATTCTATTACCAACAGCCTATTCATTGGCATATTTTGTAAATATTGTATATTTTGACTTTTTATAGTTTAAATTAGTATTAATTTATGTTATATATAGCTTGATTGGCTGATTACAAAAATTATTTCATTTCTAAACCCTAAAAATAGTTTTTCTAGTTAACCTGCTTTAGGGTTTTGGTATTATCCACTTGTATGCTTTCTTTTGGTCTGAATGGTGTTTCATTTGTATGGATCTCTTCTAAGGCTGGAAAGATATTTCCTTTATTTTTTAGATTTCTTTGTAGGGTACATGTTATAGGTTTTTAGCCAGAAGTCAAAAAATAAAGAGCAGGGTTATTTATAACTTTATCCTACACTGAAAGCATATAGCTAATCTAATAATCTTCTTATGCTTTTAGTTATATAAGTTCCTATGAACTGAACATAAAACTCAGGAATTGGTGGCTTTAGATCAGAGCTTGTATTAATTTCAGTATGTGAATCTAAAACACATAAACTTGTATTTAGTCATAAGTTTTTTACTTTGAAAGTTCCCTACTTGAGAGTAATCTTCCTTCACACATTGGTAATGTGATCTACAATTTCCAACTATCTCAGATCCTCATGATGGTTTATAAGATTTGTGACCTTATCAAAAAATTCTTACAGGAAAGTTTAGATGAGTAATAGTTACTGACACATGCATTTTTGTTTTATTGTTAAATGTACTCAGTCTTCAGTTAGTGAGATGTTGCTGGAAAAGATAATAGGGCATATGAAATATAAGTTACAGCAATAGATATTTTATTTGTATTTCTTGTCAGTACTTTTTGTGTCACTTATAAAGGTACAGTATATTTTTTGTCACAGTTTAGTTGACAACTGCATTCCATTAAAAAGTTGGCCTTGTGAAATACAACCTTCATTTAATATTCATGCTTTTGTGCCTTTAAGAAAATATTTTTTGTCATTTTTGTGTTACAGAACTGAAATGTGATTCAAAGTGTTTATAGTTTTGTCATAAAAGGGTCATTTCTCTTTGTCTATTTCTTTAAAATATGTAAAGTATATTTAAATAGTAATGCTGTACTTTTATAAGAGTTTGTTTACCTATTTCAAATATATTCTTACTCTAAGACATTGAAGTAGACTTGTCAGATTATTCTGAGCATTGTAAACAGTGCCTTTTTGATGGAATTCACACTGTTTTGGATGTCAACTTGTGCCATATACACAAAACTTTGTAGAAGGCAGTTTTAACTTTTTGAAGAATATCTTCATCAAATTCAAGAAAAAAAATGTAAAAAATTCCATTTTTCTATTGTTTAGCATTTCTAATGAGCAGTGAATAGTTTTTTGACATACAGTGACGATGGCATTATTGATGAGCCATACATGAGACTGCAGATTATTTTGAATTATGTTAAATGTACAGAAATAAATAACATTTATAAAATTTTGCAATCTGAACCAATGGGGAAATCCCGCAGAAATGCTAAGTTTACATTTCAACTTCTATCTTATTTGAGTAAGTGTAAAAAAAAAGAAAAAAGGTTCTTTAAAATGTATAACCTGCCACTATTATGTAATTTGGTTTCATTTTGTTGTACCTATCATGTGAGTTCAGTATAATTTACTTTTTTTACTCTTAGTATACTATTTTTGTTACAGTTTTTAACTGAGGATGGACTGTTAAAATTACACAGGACCAGTGTCTTATTAATAGAATTAATGTATTTTGAAAAGCCACAAGAAACCCATGACAAAATGAATGTGAATATACTTTCTAAAACATTTAGGGAAAATTTCTTTTCACATTTATCATGTAATAATTACTTTAGTATGACAAAGTTGAAATTTTTCATTTAAAGAAAATTGCCATGAAACATTTAAACTGATGAGCCACAGAACTTGTTGAAATTTTTTCACTTTTTAGCATGCTATACATTTAAGTTTAAATATCCTGTTTAATGGCCATTTTTAAATTCAAGCCCCACCACTGGTTGGTTTTGTATGATAGACTGAAATTATGTTATCTGCAGTGTAAGTATAGCACACTGTCAATTTTTTTTCCTTAAGGTGCACAGTAAATGTACAGATAGTCATAGGCTACTGTTTTGTAATGTATTACATTTCTAATCTGTTATTCCTAACCTGTTATCAATGTTTGCAGAGAGAAAACAATTGAATTTTTCTAATGATCTGTAAAATTATGTTAACTTCTACATGTAGGCATTCTAAATAAAATTTTTAAAAACAGCAAATTGTGATCAAATTACTTAACATGGTAACCAAATTTATCCTCACTTTTTCCTCCTTATTTTGTTGGGAAAAATGCAAAGCATGGGCAAGTGTGGAAAGAATTTAATAGAATCCTTAATGTATTCTTTATGAGGTGTGGTCAAACAATTCAGTGAATATTTAAATTTTGAAATTTTTATTATAGTAACAACACATTACCAATAATCCCTCTCCAAATATCTCCTTGCTTCACTTATTCTTGCCACTTTCTCAAACAGCATTGAGAAATCCTCTTTTCGTAAGTATCTTTAGTTGCACTGTCATAACTGACTCCTTCAATGTCCTGAATTAATTCAAAACATTGACCTTTGATGGTCATCTTGACTTTGGGGGGAAGTGCCAAAAATCACACAATGCTAGATATGGTGAATAAGAGGGATTACAACAGATTGTAGTATTTTTGACAGAACTTGCCATAAGCAGTTGGTCAATGAAAGTGATCAAAAAATAGTTTAAATTTTAAAATTACAATAAAATACTGTCATTAATTCCCTTCAAAATGTTCCCCTTTGCTTTGAACACATCCCATCATTCCTGGCAGTATACTTTTTACTGTAATTTTTTTAAATGCATACATTCACTGTATTTTTTATCATCCTTTGTACTTCTTTATATTCATTCTTGAATCTTCCTCATATCTTTATGCAGATCTTATATATGAAGTATAACACTGACAGTCAAATGACTCCAAAATCTACCCAGTATGTGCAATAGCATACTCTTAGAAGAGTAAAAACTCAAGTTTGAATCCATGTCCATCTGCATAGTACACTTAAATAGATCCTTGATTGTAATACTTATAATTGTCTGGCATATAAGCGCTTGAATCTACACTGAAGAAACATAATCCCTTTATGGTTAATAGACATGGACCTTATTAAGTAAACTATATATACCAAGCCTATATAGATATAAAGTTTTTTCCTTTCTGATCACCAAGTAGTCCATAGTGACTCAACATTAATGAGTTCCAAAGTCATTCCTCTCTGGTTTCCTCCACCCTCTTCTCATTCTTAATCCCCTCAAGTTCCAATTACTGTTGTCACTGACTTTTATTAATAAGAGGGGCATAAGGAGGGGAGAGTAAGCAGTTGCACCTATCCTGTGCATGAGAATGACTAAACAAAACAGCCCCTTAGTTTTCAAACACAGTGAAACATCAACATTATTTTCCATATATATATATATGTGTGTGTATATATATATATATATACACACACACACACACACATATATTTGCTCTAACAGGTGTTACGTGTTGTGCCATTATGCTTCCCGTGTCTTACAAACTAGCCCTTTCTAGCGGGTATAACTGCCCAGGAGAGAGGTGATCTGCAATAGGAACTTGGTGGAGTCTTTAGCTGACTTGTACTTACTGTACGCTAGAAGTATGCAGAGTGCTTTGTAAACGTTCTCCACCTTTTCAAAACTGATTGTTCTTTCAAATGTTATCTCTCTTTCTTTTAAAGATTAGAAAAGCAGGGAACAAGATTATTTGCTGAATGTCATGAATGACTAAATGGCAGAACAAACCCATGTCTGAATCCGAAACGCCTGTAGTCTCAAACCCAATCCCGTTTTGGAATTGAATCACAGTGTAGGCCAAGGAAATACACTGATCATCGATGTGACTAATGGATTTGAGTCACATCGATTATTTTGGCTAAATTGCATTTAGGGATTGCGTGATAACCTGAGGCCAGAGCATATGACAAGTCCCCCTCCGGGAGACAAAGCCTGAAATTCTTGACCCTGGCCAGACCTCCCTCATTTGCTCTCGATTTAAAACTGTTTTCATAAAAGCAAACTGCAGGGTTTGGACGGAATATGCGTGAACCCAAGGCAAAAGTTTTTGCCACCAAACAAGTAGCTCCTAACGAGGGCCAGAAACCTGCCGAATTTACCCATACGGCCCATTCCGGGGAAGCGTTTAGGGTTCGCCCTGGGACAGAGCCTCGTGAGCGCCTATCCTTTATCTTCATAGGTGCCTGGCCTGCCAACCCAACTGGCAACGTACAGTAGCAAGCTTTGCAGAGCAGGACAGCTTCCCAGCCGAGAAGCGGAACTCGCCCGGCTTCCGGTTTAGTGCCTGCTTCCGGATTAGCGCCTGTTTCCGGTTTCTTCCCCGCCTTTTCCGTTTCCGGCCGCTCCTGCCGCTTTTGGTCGGCGCGGTGGCTCTGACCGCTGTCAGGTGGAGGTGGTTCCGATTCCAAACTCTATGGCTGTGGTGGGGTCTGTGAAGACTGCACTGCAGGTGGCCGAGGTGTTGGAGGCCATTGTGAGCCGCTGCGTGGGGCCGGAGGGGCGGCAAGTTTTGTGTACGAAGCCCACCGGCGAGGTGCTGCTCAGCCGGGATGGAGGCCGCCTCCTGGAGGCGCTACACTTAGACCATCCCATAGCCAGGTATCTGACTCCTACTCTCTACCCCCACCCAGCACACAGCCTGACGGCCTCGCGTATGCCTTGCCCCTTCCGAGGTCCACACGTGGATAAAAGACCTCTAGTGAGGCCCGCGTATAGTGCTGCACAAGGAACATTCATGGATTCCAAAATCTCAGACTCCCAAGAACACTTATTCTCTCTTCCTTAGAATGTTAAAGTAAATTGGACAGAAAAAAATTAAGACTGTGTATCAAAAGGAGAGTATTTTTTTCTTTATATCTGAAGTTGATAGTTTTAACTTGATTCCATGTAGGAAGCCCGTCTTCTGAAAAATCTGATTTGTTTTATTTCTTTCTGTCTGCCTCTCTGTCTTTTGGTGCAGGATAATAGTGGCGTGTGTTTCCAGTCATCTAAAAAAGACAGGAGATGGTGCTAAAACCTTTGTTATCTTTCTTTGCCATTTACTCAGAGGACTTCGTGCAATCACAGAAAAAGAAAAGGATTCATTGATTTCTGAAAATATTCAAACTTTTGAAAGATGTTGGAAAAATTGTTGTCAGTGGAAATTTATTTGTCAAGCTCTATTGACGTTTCAGACACAAATTCTAGACGGCATTATGGACCAGTACTTAAGTAGACACTTTTTATCCATCTTTTCTTCATCTGCTAAAGAGAGAACATTGTGTAGGAGCTCCTTAGAGTTACTCCTAGAAGCATACTTTTGCGGAAGAGTGGGAAGAAATAATCACAAATTTATTTCACAGTTGATGTGTAACTTCTTTTTCAAGTCCACGATTTCTGACAGTAGGCTGGAAGTATTTGAGTTAGTGGATGACTGTTTTGTAGAGTTGAATGTCAGTGTCACTGGCCTCCCTGTGTCAGATTCTAGGATCATAGATGGTCTTGTGCTTCACAGAGATTTTTCTGTTTACTGCCCAGCAGATGGTGACATGCGAGTAGCAATAGTAAGAGAAACCATTCAGCCTCTTTTTTCAACTTCTGGATCAGAGTTTGTTCTAAACTCAGAAGCACAGTTTCAGACATCTCAGATTTGGATTATGGAAAGAACAAAATCAATAATGAAACATTTACGTAGTCAGAATGTAAGATTGCTCCTCTCTAGCGTGAAACAACCAGATTTAGTGATTTATTATGCAAGGCTGAATGGCATATCAGTGGTGGACTGTTTATCGTCAGAAGAAATTTCTCTTATTCAAAGGATCATTAGTCTTTCCCCATTTGTACTTCCACAGGCCTCTTTACAGTGTGAAATTTCTAACCCTGCTTTGGTGAAATTTTGTAAACCTCTTATCCTTAGATCCAAAAGATATGTCCATCTTGGTCTGATGAGCACATGTACATTTGCACCACATTGTATAATTCTTTGTGGACCAGTGCAGGGTCTTATTGAACAACATGAAAATGCTTTACATGGAGCATTTAAAATGCTTCGGCAGTTATTTAAAGACTTTGATCTAAATTATGTAAAAAAAAGCAATGACCAAAATGACACATTAAGTCCTCATGTAAAGAACAACGATGAATTAGAAAAAAATCAATATTTACAAGCACACTCAAATTTGGTAGTTTCAGATGCTGAATTAGAAACATATATTCCATGTTCAACACCAAAACTGCTACCAACAGATACAGTCCAAACAGATGAAACATGGAGATGTTTGCCTCCTGAAAATAAAAAGATCAATGATGACTATGAACTATTAATTGAGAGTAATTCCAGTAGTAATCCTATAACAGAAAATACTAGAATAGAAACTTATTGTGAAAATCTCCAGGTCACAAATATTGCTGGAAAGGAGAGCACATTACCAATGAAATACAAATCACTAGATACACATATTTCACAGAGTTACTGTTCTTCATCTGTGCCAGCAGGTTGTGTTTTGCCTGTGGGTGGGAGTTTTGAGATCTTACTACATTACTACCTTCTCAACTATGCCAAAAAATGTCAGCAATTACAAGAAATCATGGTTAGTAAATTAATAGCCAGTGCACTTTTAGGCATTCCCAAAATTCTTTATAAACCTAAGAAAGGAAATCACAACTTTCCACAAATATATTTGAGAGCTCTCCATGCACTGCAGACAAATCAACCCATAATAAGCTGTCAGGCAGGTTTGGAATCAGTAATTGGTAAATACCATTTACTAACTTCAGTTCTTCAATGTTTGACAAAAATATTAACTGTTGACTTGATAATCAATATTAAGAGACAGCCTCAAAAAAGTTGTGATCAAGATTCAGAAGATGAACTTCAGCATTAGAAGTTTTTTGTTAACCAGTCTTTAATCCAACTAGAACTATAAAATAATGCAGGCATATGAATACTGGTTCTCAAGACAATTCAGTCTACTCAGGAAAACAGCATAATTTCAAATGTCTTTAGAAGTGTGCTAAGACCACCAGACCATTTAGATGCAAATATTAGGCTACTTTATGGAACAAAACTAAAAGGGAAGCCAGGATCCAGCTAAATGTGTCTCTTTTGCGTTTTATGTCTGTGTCTGGCCTCTGTGTTAGTCTGTGTGTTTTCAGAGTGTTTTGTTAAAGTGGATACTTTAGTTCTTACATTTATATGCTACTGGTTTCATTTCTATTCATCTGTAAAAAAAAAACTGATAGATTTTTACTACTCATATACCTCTGAATATATGTTATGAGAAATGGTATTGCACATTGTGAATCCATTTTAGTTCTGTAATTAAAAGTTAATTCCAGAAACAATATGGAATTTATTCTTTTTATTTTCTCCTAGAGCCTACAAATCTTGTAAAGAGATTTCATGTACTTACCGGGTTTTCTTGTATTTAATGAGTTAAGCCAGAGTTAAGTAGTAACAAATAATTTGACAATTGTTTCTAATTTGAATTTATAAATGTTTGTATTTTATTTTGAAAAAAAAAAAAGCTATGCCTCTAGCTGTAGGTAGGAACAGTGCCTTGTATTTGTACTAGTTCTCAAAAACACCGAAAACAGTGCTTTGTTTATTCCAAGTATGCAAAAGTGCTTGTGAAATAAAACAGTTCTATCTTTGTTCTGTTTCCCTAAATGCATGTTTCCAATTTACTTATTCAAAAAACTACTGAGTACACATTGTGCGCCAGATACTGCGGTCGATACTGAGCGTGTGTCTTCATGCACTTTTCCTCAAAGGTGGATGGAAAGAGACATGTGCAACACTTAGGTTAGGATTGATTTAGGAAAGCCAAAGAAAAAAATTATGATTGGGTAAATAGTGACAAATAATGTATTAGAAAACTGGAATCATGTCATGCAGAATCTTATGACCTTTTATATTAAATATAGTTCTGCTTTTTAAAGGTGTGCAGCACAGGACACATTATTTTGGTGAATGCGAAGAGTAATGTAGCTTTTTTATGGAATTTTTAGAGGAATGAACCTGTGTTAAAATTGAGTAATTTTTTTCCATTCATTTTCAATTGACTGTGGGGTCATTTTGCTTTATTTTGTTACTGTTGTTGTTGAAGGCATTCAGAGACTTTAAAATATATCCAGTGTTGTTAATATGGTAAGCATGTAATTAGGCGTTTAATGTCAGTAGTTCAGAAAACTTTTTGTAAGCTGTCTTTGTTTGATTGGTTTGGTATTTTGCAAACAAGTCAATAAACATCTGTTAAGGACCTGTTTGTTAAATCAATTAATCTTTGGGTCCTCATAGATTAGGTTAGATCTGTAAACTTTCATTAGCAGATTGTTTAGAGGAAAAGGAGCAGAAAATATAGAACAGATCTACACAAAATAATTTTTTTCTTGTAATTTAAAAAAATCTTCAATGATGATGAAGCTTTCATGCGTTATCTTTATTTAAAGGATAACACTGAAGAGTTTTAAGTATTTACGTAGCTGATCTAGATAAGTGAAAAACCTTAAAAATTTTAATTATATTAAATTGATACTCTCTACCACAAAGTGTTTGACATGACCTGCAGTAAGAACAGACAAAATTATGATAAAACCTGAATAAGAATTAAAGAATCAAAACCAAAGAAAAAAGTGAAGACAACTTAAACTCAAGATTATTTTCCTATTTATTATTGCTGCATATTGAGTAACCCACAAACTTAGTAGATTTGAATCATTATCTCATGATTCTGGGGTTGACTAAGCTTAACTGAGTGGCTTCTACTTTATTTACTTGGCCAGCGAGTCACAGAGGTTAAAGGAAAGTGAATGTAGGCCTTGCGTTCAATGAGGAAAGTATCCGAGTCACATCCAAAAAAGAGTATGTGGGATGGGGCTGTATTGAGGCAGCTATTTTGAAAATTCGGTCTGTTCCACCTTGGAAGGGATAAAGAACAAAACTGTATGTTAACTTCTCAACAGTTTCTGTAATTTTTTTCTGAAATTATGTATGAGTCTACCTCCCACTATCACATTTTGTCCAATAACATTTATTTTTCCTCACTAAGCCGGCATGAGCTACTTTTATGTTCAAAACAATAGACATTAAATAATTGAACTTGCAAGGCATAGTGATACATACCCATAATCCTACTACTCTGGAGAGCTGAGGCAGGAGAATTGCAAGTTTGAACTCAGCCTGGGTAATTTATCAAGACACTGTCTCAATATAAAATTTAAAAGAGCTGAGGATACAACCTAGTATGAAGATCCTGAGTTCAAATTCAGTTCCCACCACACCAAAAAAAAAATGTCTTTGAACTGCTTCAGCTAGTGAAGCTATTCTGGAAATTTCAGGAAAAATGCTATCATTTTTCAGACTAAAAGAGGAATGCACTACAAACAACTTTTTTCAGAAATTGTTCATGCCCTCTTCAAAGGAGTAGCATATAACATGAATCTGTATGTTTTAGATGTTCTTTGTTTGTGCCTTTCTATATCTCAGCACAGACAACAAAATCTCTTCTATGGTACATGACTAATGTTTAAACTCTTGTTAAACTTTATGAGTAACATGTTAAAATCAAATATGAAGCATTAAATAGCCCCGTGTAATCATTTAGTTTTACCCTTCATTAACTTTTTGCCATATTTATTTCTCCCAATTTTTTTAAAGAAAATAAAACCAAGCAAAACAAAATAAAATAAAGCAAATCAAAACAAGTGACACAGGACTTCAAAACAATAGGAAATCAACAGTGGTTACCATAATGCCATTTGTTGTCTTCAAAATAGCTACAGATACTTTCAGACATAGTAAAAATCAAACAACAAGAGTACAAACAATAAAAACAAAACAGTGAGTGCAATAAAGAACATAAAATAAGACAAACAGTAAATCCAAAATTGCTACTCCCTTCAGAAGAAGATTCCTCATAGGATGCTACATTGCATATTGTTATCCTTTGACTAGATGGTCAGCTTTAGACCCACAAAGTCAGTGAAACACTAAACACTACAACATTAAATTGTATTTTTATCTCAACAGCTGTCATCAACTGCAGCCTGTGTTTCTCCAGATCAGTTGGTCACTTAGAGTGGCAGTGTGTGTGTGTGTGTGTGTGTGTGTGTGTGTATGTGTGTGTGTGTGACTCTTCCTGTTTCCCAGCCCACGCATAGAAAGGAGCTGACATCTGGGTGTCCCCCATTGGCCTGCACATGGCGCTGAGTCGCAGGGAGGATTTGCTTCTTGGTGACTTCTTGTTCTCTTCCCTCACAGTCTATAAATGGTGCTGACTCATGGGAAAAAGCTGGCCCCTGGTTCTCCCCACAGCAGCCCACACATGGTGCTGATTCACATGGATGGCTTGCCTATTGGTGATTCTTGTTCTCTTCTCCTGCAGTTGTATCCCAATGGTTTTAAAGAAGAGGCATGTTTTATCTCCTGTATTGTCTGATATTGTAAAACTATTGATTATTTCAAACATCAGCAAAGGTTTGCTACACATACTGTCTGTATTGGTAAGAAAGTCAGAGACAAGTAGTGTTTTTTTATTCCCTTGTAAGTTGACAAAGGAGAAGAGCTATGAGAAGTGGAATGTGAGGTGGTTTGAGAATTTAGAGGGAGCAGGAAATCTGAGTAAGAAATGACCCCCAAAATGGAAGCACTTTGAAGTTTGTAAAAATCTTAGGAAAGGCATGAACTCTCCACAGGAGGTAGGATAAGGACCAGTGCTGTTTTTATTTAGACATTAACTGTTTAAGACTAGAGAGCTTAGTTTTTGCAGGAATCATGAAATAGATAAAAGAACAAACCTAGTATTGTACCAGTGGAAACATACAAACTTTGGTAAACTCCAAATGGCCATCACAGACCAGGCAGTTAAACTAGCACAACTGTATGACTCCTAGGCTGTAAAGCCTCTGTATAGAATTTGCCTTTATTAAACTTCAGTTTTTATTTTTTCATTTCATTTTGTTTTGCTTTGTTTTGTTTGAGACGGGTGCACTGTGTAGTCCAGGCTGGCCTTGAACTCACTATGTAGCTCAGGCTGATCTTTAATTTACAGTGATCCTCCTGCCTCAGCCTCCCAAGTGCTGGAATTACAGGTGTGTACCACCACACCCTGGCCTAAACCTTCATTTAAGCTTTGTATTTACCCTGTTTTTTTTTTAATTTAAGGAGAAAGAAGCAAACAAAAAAAAAATACATGGAGATAAAAAGGGTAGAAATAATACAGAATTACAGAAAAATAAACGGTAAATAGCCAGTTGATAAGTTACATATTGTCACCTTAGAAATAGCTGTTCAGGTTACAAAATTAAAGTATGTAAAATGACATTCAAATAGTGACACTGCCAACAGTTCTGCTCAATGATCTAACAAAAACTTAGTAATATGGTTATCAGTCCTATACACTTGTTTTATATCTTAAAGAGGGTAAGATTAAACATATCAAAACAACAAAACAGTTTTTAAAAAACAATTTAAAGAAATACAGATTTCAAAGCAAGTCCACTGGAGATCTTCATTGTCTATCTTATTGTCTCTAGCTTTCTTCCAAATAGTTGTCCCCATCTTCACGCACATTGAATACATACTGCATATTATGGAACTAATCAAATCATTACAGGATGATGAAGGCTTTTTAGGTCTTCAGGATCTGACATTGGGGAGGACAATAATAACTACTATCGCATCTCTCATTCTCTTCGTAATAGCTGTCCTTATCTTTACATATGCTGAAATTGAACTTGAGACTAGACTAATATCACTCTGATCAGTGAATAATAGTATTGCTAGATTTTATACCATAATGCTACAAAATTAGCATTGGGTTTCTTAGTGTCTCTTCTTCAGAGTATCTGTTCATTACATCTTGCATTATATAATCTGTTCCTGTAAATAGTTTTTTAAGAAAATCTTCTCATGTGAATTTCTACATGTATATCTATCCTCTCTGTATTATAGGGAAAAACAAATCATAACAAAACAGCAAAACAAATTCCTAGAAAAACATGCAATGAATAAGACATAAGACCACAATATTAGGTGATCTACCATAGTTATTATGCTTTCTCTTGTTATTTTCAATAGAGTTGTCCATATCATCAGGCTTAATATAGTTAAACATAGTATTACCTAGCTATTTTTATAAAAAATACCACTTTGAAAACATTGTAGGACTTGAGAGCTGTTAATAATACCAGTATGGATGTCTTTTACATCTTGTCATCTTCAGATTATTTGCCTCTACTTTTAGGGTTGATACTATCAAGCATACCAAATTCAAATAAAATCAGCCAAGGCAAAACTGTGGACTTATGAATCGGATTCAAATAAGATCAGTCATAGTAAGACAATGTAAGTAATACAGGGCTTCAGTTTAAGTTAATAGGAAATTAAGGATAGTTACCATGGTATAACCTATTTTGGGGTCAGATGTCTGTGCCCTCAAATCTGATATGAGTGGACAGACCAGAACAAATTAAATTCAAACTAAACAGGGCGATAAGACTACTGTGTCTTTTAAATCCTGATACACTATTAACAATGACCTCTGCCTTTTTTTATAGTGTATCAAAGCTATCTATACTAAAGACTACAGCTTACTGTCTCTGCCTCATGTCTGCTACTCCACTTTACTGCTATAATTTGTCCACCTTACTCCCTCATTCCACTGTCTGCCCCGTTCGTTGAGGCCCCTCTGCCACTGTTGCTGGAATCCTGGTATCTCTTCCTTTCTTTCTCTGGAATGTCCTTCAGCACTCTCTGTAGGGTTGGGTTGGTGGCCATGAACTCCCACAGTTCCTCCTTGTCTTCGAAGCATCTTATTTCTCCATTAATTTTGAGAGAGAGTTTTGATCGGTGTATGAGTCTTGGTTGCATATTATTTTCTTTCAGGACTTGGAATATTTCTCCCCATTCCCTTCTTGATTTAAGAGTTTGTGTTGATAAGTCTGTTGTTATTTTGATAATTTTCCCATTGTAGGTAATCTGCTTCTTTTCTCTGGCTGCTTTTAATATTCTGTTCTTTTGGTGGATTTCTGGAATCTTGATTATTATATATCTGGATGTAGATCTGTTTTAGTTGTAGGTAGCTGGTGTTTTGTATGCCTCTTTTATCTGGATATCATTTCTTTTTGCTATACATGGGAAATTTTGTTTTAATATATATGTAAATATTCTTTGTATTTCATTTTTGGTTGCTCCTGCTTCCTCACTCACATGCTTTATTCTTAAGTTATGTATCCTTTTGTCATCTTCTAGCCTTTGAAT